CATATTTGAAATTATTTCCTATTCTTCTGTGAGAAATAATGGCTTAAGACTAGTAGTAAATAGTTATTGATTTTACTTCAGCCTTATACTACATGCTCTTTTCCTCTTTATTAGCCAATATAACATCAGCAAAGGAAAAACCAGAGGAAGTGAGATAACCACAAACAGCAGAAGTGCCAAACAAAACCTTTGTCACTTTAGATTTAGGACATGCACAAAAGTTCAGATCTATGCTAAGTTTGGACTCCTCTGATGCTCTACAAGGTAAAAGGCAGTGTTTTTCCTGGCCAATGGTGTACACGTATTCCTCAAACTCTAAAGTAAAAAATTTTCCATGAGAAAAAATGAAATTAGAGTGTCTTTAAGGAATTATCTGGTTTCTTTTTAGTTTTCAGAGAGCTGAATGTATCACTTTTCTAAACTTCAAATACTAAAACTCAAGACATGGTTTCTGATCCTTCCCTTTATTAATACTCTGAACATAGACACATTATTGATTACCAGATGCTTCTGATTTTGATAAGATGAGAAAAGTAAGTTTGCCTTTGACAATTCAAATACAAGAAAATTACTTTCCCCAAATTAGGGACTGATCATGAAATGGGATCAGACCCTGCTATTCTATTCAGATTCTTACTCTTCACCCCTCACTGTGGTATCAGAGCGAATAAAATTCTGTGACTAACATGTCACATGTAGTTATTTTCTTCTCTCTTTTCCTGTCTACTTGGATGATGTTTGTCGTGGTTCTTAGCTCTAACAGGAATTTATTGTACAGTCTTGGCCCTTATAGTACAGTTTCATTGTGCCCGAGGAATAGAGCTGTTGACTGCAGTGTTTGTCCCAGAGCATTAAGTAATCCTTTAAATATTGCCCAGATCATTAAGCTCCTTAAAAATAAAAACTGAGACCTTGAATTTGATTTTGATATTCTATAGGGAGCCAATGTAGTGAGATGAGAATAGGTCAGCAGTGCCTGCTGTAGCCCATGTTATTGAGGAGGTAAACTCCTGCAGGTTATACAATTAGTAGTTTTCTGAAGGCTGACGGTTTCATATCCAGGTAGAATGCATTGCTGTTGTCCATCTGGGAAGTAACTAAGGCATGCAAAACTGAGAGTACTGTAGGTATTTTTTACCTGGACGGGATACTGACCCTGCAGACAGTAGAATTATTCTTAGATCCTCTGTTATCTATTATTATCAGTAATATGCGGTTTTCCTCAATGTAAGCAAGAAATCCAGGCCCTTTATCAAGGGCCTGCCTTCCTCTCTGACAGAATTACAGAAGATGTCAGTGAACACAAAGGCTCATAAATTCTCTACACTGATTGCTTTGCTCATCTCTCATGTTTTAAGCCTGATCCAACACCCTTTGAAGGCAATGGGAATCTTCCCATTGAATTCAATGGGTGTCAGAATTAACCACTTGTTCTACTTTAGAGGGTTATGGTAGGGATTTAATATTTTCCATCAGTTATGTTTACAGTTAATAGTCAGTTAAGAATGGTTTGAGTGTGTGTATGCCAAGGCTTATTCCCCACTCTGGCACTTCAAGTACAGAAGGTGGGGGTCCGCAAGGATTTTAAAAATTAATACTTTCCCCTCCAGGCTTGTATTAAACTCCCAAAGTTACAGCTTTTCTCTGACCTTGGCTTGATAAACCACTCAAATGCAAAACCCCTTTTGGAACCCAGGAAGATGCACTTGGGAATTCCTTCCCGCGGGGTACCCTCAAGCCCTTTCACGCCCCCTGCGGGGAAGAGCTGAGAAAGAAAACAAAGGAAATTAGCTGGTGGCAACAGCTAATTAAACAACATATGCGCAAACCTCTCAGGACACCAAAAATCTAATCCTGTTCTTAAAAAAAAAGTATAAATTTTATTAAAACCAAAAAAAAAGAAAGAAAATACATTTGGAACTTAGGCTTTTGCTAGATTTTAAAAGAGCAATTCCAAAATTTAAGCACCTAAAATAGCTTTCTTGGGGGTTCAGCTTAAAGGTTACAAGCAAACAAAAGCATCTGGGGTTAGCACAGAGGAGTCCATTAGCCATAACATATAAATAGAAATAACCCTAATTGTATCTTTCTAAACATTTCTGATCTACTTACACATTTGGGAGTTCCAAATAAGTACTGTAGTTCTAGGTATGATCCGATGATTTATGATCATACCTGGCTTAAAGCTTCTCATAGAATAACTGCTCCCTGTTCCCCTCTTTACGGGAGAAAAAACAACAGACAGGGAAAGTTTTTCCCCCCCATTTAAAAAAGTTCTAGCCTTCCCATTGTCTCTTTTGGTCAGGTGCCCACTCTCTTTCCTTTACCTGCAGGACTTTGTTAACCCTTTACAGGTAAAGCAAGCAGAGAACCACCACCAAGAGGGACTTTATAGCTAGCTGGCTGGGTGTCCATAAAAGGGAGTTACCACCCCCTCCCCCATTTATCACAGTGTGTGTGTACACCAGTTCAAAGTATTGTATAGGGAGAAAAATACTGTTTTTTTTTTTTTCCAGTAGAGGATCTCTATGTCATCCTGAGTTCACGCAGAGCAACAAATTTTTGGAATCTGTTGCAGACATTAAAACCAATTAACAGATCCCTCATTCACCAGGATGTATTCTTCTGTTGAGGGTCAGTATTCAAAAGGAAGAATTACAACCAAAATTTAAAATGAACTCTTCAGATTTGGGAGAAAGATTTTGGGAAAACCCTTGCTTGCTATTTGTCACATTCACAACCGCCTAGAAACTTATAACTAGATAGTGATACCCTTACTCACATTGAGAAATACCTTATTCTAAAGCATGAGGATTGATAATCCTATTAACATTTTCCTAGGTAGTTTAAATACTTATATTGGTTTCCACTGCTTTCTTGACTCCTACTAAACTCTTTGGTTCATTAATGTTTTGTTGTAGTGAATCCAGAGGTTAAAGACACTTTTAAAAAACAACCAACCTTTTATCAGTTTTAATTTGTTGCTTTTAAAATTAATCAAATAGCCCTTTGTTCTTGTGTTAAGAGACAAGTGTGTCCAATTGACCTTCTCAACACCATTCATTATTTTATATATTCTATTACTTATTTGTCTCCTCTCAGCTAAACAGACTGGTCTTTTAGATTCTCTTTATAAAGGAAGCCTTTTCACATCTCTAATCATATTCATTGCCTTTCTCTGGATCTTTCCTATTATTTTTTGTCATACAACAAAGATAAAGATTCACAAAGAATCACCTAAAGAAAAAAACCCACAACTATTAGCACACTAAAGCTATTCCCTTGATCTCCTGTCTAGGACTTCCCCTAGTTCCATTTCTCCCAGTCTTCCTAATACAGATTTAAAGAAACTGTACATATATTCTCACATTCTTACTAAGAAAGGGCAACCAAAATTAGACAGAGTGCTCAGGATAAGAAGGTACCATCTATTTGTGTAATTACACTTAAAATGAGAAAAGAAAGTTAAGGTTGCAAAGTCAGGTACTCAAAAGTAAGAAATGCCAGATTTAAGGCTATCCATACAACCTTAATTTGATTCCTCATTGTTACATTAATTACATAATTGCATACTATCCCCTACCTCCTCATACAATCTCAGTCTCCAACAAGCATCCTTGCCCCAGTGTGTCTCGGTATTCCCATATCTCCCACTCCTTCTACGATCTCAGTCCTAGGCTCCTTGCCCAGCCAGTCCCAGTCTTTTTCACCTCACTGTGATGTGCATAATAATACCCAGGTCTTTTTCCTGTGTGAAAATTTTTTTAGCATATATCAATATGTATAAATCGTTAAAATAGTTCTTTCCAAGACACGTTACTTGCACATCTACATTGAATTTCATCTGCAGTTGCCTTGTCATCAAAACAAACAAAAACAAAAATTTGGTACCTAATGACATTTGTGAATCATCAAATTGTTCACTCTGCTTGTAGGTCATATCACTTCCCCACAACCTTTTGTCTTCAGCAGGGACTCTCTCTTTCTGTATGTTTGTACCATGCCTAGACAAAGGGGCCCTGATTTCAGCTGGAATCCTTAGGTACTGCTGTAACACAAATAAGTAACAATAAATAGCTTTGTTCCATCCCTCTGGAAAGATACACACTCTTCTGTAGCCTTGATTAACCTAAATAATGTTTTCTTGCTGCTTTTCACTAATGGCTTGTCTACATAGGAAAGTCATACCATGTAAGCTAAGGTGTGAACTGAAATCAATAGTTAGGCTTGGAAGGATTAGATTTTTGCTAGTAAACATGAATTCCACTGTATCCATATAAACAAAAAATATATTTCTATAAATAAATATTTAAATGTAGGCAAAGCAAGAGAACTGCTGCTGGAGAACTTATTAGTTTCATGTGAGGCTATTTACTTAGTATGTTTTGACATGTGATGTTGACAAATTGTGTTTTAATAGTTACAAAGCTTTTACTTTTTGAATCTCAAGATCTACTGTCATTAAGTAATTATTGTCTGACCACCCATAATGTCCCAGGGAAAGGAAGTCAGACAATTTAAATATTTTTTAAAAATGTTTAAAATAAACATAATTATTAGCAGTCAAAGTTATTTAAAAAAATCAAATTCTGCCAAGCCTAAATATAGCAACAACAGAATAAAGCCTCAGGCAGACACCCTCCTGGGATCGCTCCGGCTGCTCCCCGCTCCAGCTGAACCCCTCGCCCGACACTCCGCATTAACTGGAGCGCTCAGCGATACCCTGCGGGAGCGAAGTAGTCTCCGGATGGTACCATTAGCGGCTTCCGCGGGGGTGCGTATAAGACACCCGCTTCCCGACGCTTACGGGGAACAACTCGACTTGTCACCACACCCCGGACAGCCATGGTGCAGGCCACAGCCACCAGCACAGGTGCGGCCGGTGGAACAAACCAACAGCAAGCGACGGGGGTGGCGGCAGCATCATAGGAAGGCGACGCGGGAGATTGAAGTGTCTGCGCCGCCGCCGCCGCTAGCCAGGGGCCTCGCGAGGGGGAGGAGGAGGCGGAGGCGGAGGCGACGACGGCAGCAGCAGCAGCGGCCGGGGAGGAGGAAGGGAGAGTCCGAGCCTGCTGCGCCCGCCCCTCCCTCGGTAAGTACCAGTCACTGCGCAGGGGCAATTCAGGGGGCTGGAGCCAGCGCCTCGCCCGGCGGCTCCCCGCAGGCGGGTCCGCCGCCCCCCCCCCCCAGGCGGGTCCTGCTCCGTGAGCGAGGCCAGGGCCCCGCAGTGACACACACACGGCACCCGGTGGCTGCGGGGATACCCCCGGCTAGCCCGGCCGCCGCGGCTCCTGCGCTCCGGCTGTGCCCCAGGCCTAGCACACCTGCCCCTCCCCAAAGCGGTGCGAAGCCCTCGCCCAAGCCTGCAGCTGCGCTGGTTGCACCGCTTCAACCTCCGCGGCCGCTGCAGGCAGAGCTGGGCGCTGCTCTAGGGCGGGCCGGGCCCGCCAGGCAGGGAGCTTCTCTGACCAATAAAGCAGAATGTATTCGTGTGTGTCCTCCTTTTTGGGGGGGCGGGGGAGAAGGTGTCACGGTGTTTCAGTTGGTGTTGTCTCTTCCCCCCGGCTGAGTTGTACGTGTGTGAGGACTTGGATACTCCAGCGTTAAGCTATTTCTAAGTTCATAGGTCTCCCGCTGTAGGGAGACTGGGCTGCAGCTTGCATGGTCCCGCAGCAGACACGGTTTATTGGCCTTGGTGCCTAGTTCGAGAAGTTTACAAGACAAAGTGAGCAAACCTTAGTCAAACGGAAACTTGGTCTGGCTCTGCTGGGAAAGTGCGTCTACTTATCCCCACTGAATTTATACTTCGCCACGTTTGTGACTCCAGCCCTCCTTCTGTCTCCTGTGATCGCCCCTCAGTGTTCTCAGATATTTTTATTGGTCTCTACGGTGCTATGCTGACTGGGATTTGCCTTTCCTTTAGGCAAAACTCGAATGTGAGTGAAAACACTTAGGGGAATGAAAAAGGAAGAAAGGTCCTGAAGAATGCCAAATGAAATGCAAGAAGCTTCTAAGGAACTTTATGGGTGGTTATTTGTAATTTGCTAGGCCTCAAACCAGTTGAAATTTAAGAGTATAATACAGCAAAAATGCAACATACCCTTTTGGTAGAGGACTGACTGTTTTGCATTGCTTTTTGAGAGCACAGTACTTGGAATATCACTAATTATTGGCCGAGGTTAACTGGTATAATACTTACTTTCCAACTATAGGAGTTATAGAACTGAAAAGAAAATTGACCTTTCCAGTTCTCTTGCTTCTGTTTTTTATTTTTAAATAAAAGACTTGTGAAATGCCCCATGAAATTTAAGCCACTTAATTTGTAATGGGAGTTTAGCTGAGGAACTATACCCAGCTTGTAGGACAACCCCAGAAACGCATATAGCATTTCTGATTGATCCAAAGACATGATTATCAAAGTCCCAGCAGCGTTTTGCTGTAAAAAGCAAGGCAGGATCTAGGCAAGGAAAAAGTCTGTGCTACAAGCTACATGCCTGTCCTCTTCTTGTTTCCAGCTATAGACAATACTAATGTGGGAGGAGTAACAGAAAGAATCGAAACTTCAAGTGCACTGGGCAGGTTGCTAGAGCAGATAGTGAAACTAGAGTCCTAAACTGTTAAGTATTTAGAAAGAGGGCGGTAATAGTTTGATATGAAAAATTTAGTTCACTTCGTGGTGTAAGCGTTTTGCATCGGAAAAGGGGATTGTCTCTTCACGTCATGCCAGGGCTGCTGTGGTGACCTGCTTGTACTAAGCACGTCGGTCCTCTCCCCCTTCCTACAGGAGCCTTTTTGGCTCGGGGAGGGATTCCCCTCCTCAACCCCTGTGCTTCTACTTCCTGCTTCTGTAGAACTACAACTCCCAGTAACATCTCCGGCAGCGGTTTGAAAGTGAAAACAAACTGTAGGTTACCATTTCTTGGCAGTAGTAGTAGCAGCAGCACATGTCCTTTCTCTTTTGTTTTCCGCCTTGTAGCTTGGGTGTGTACAAGAGGAGCCAGCAGTAATCGTCGCCCTGAAGAAGGGGTCGGATCTGGACCCCTCGAGTTACTTTCCAGGAGCAGCTGTCGGGCCCTCTAGGGAGGCCAGAAAGCGACTCTCTTTAAGGAGCTTTAGGCAGTAAAAATCTGCCTATGAGTCCCACATGCAATTTGACAACGTAAGGCCAGCTGCTGTTTCTGCTGCTGCCGTCCCGATTGCTGAGGAGGGAAGCACTCTTCACCTCCACCTGCTGTGGCCGTTTCCATTACCTACCTGTGGGGCAGTCTTGCCATGTGGGGCTAGGAGAGCTGCAGCGATTTTCTGCAGTATTAAGCAGTAAATATGGAGGCTGCTTGCAAAACAGATGGCGGGGAGCAGAGTCATCCCAGCAGCGGCGTGGAGGCTCCTGGGGACGCTTCTATGGACATTTACTTGCGATCTCAGGGTTTATATAGAAAGCGGGTTGCCAAGGATGGATCCTGTCTTTTCAGGGCTGTAGCCGAGCAGGTAAGTAGTTATTTAATTTAAGTAACCAGAAGCACTTTGCACTTCAACGCTGGCGATACCTGGAGGAAATGGATCCCATTAGTGGGTGTTAATGATGAGGGTGAAAAACGAGAGAGTAGGGATTAAAGGAACACTAGCTGTGCCAAGGGAAAGCACCACATCTCAGGGAGGGAAGAGTTTGACATATTGGTATGTGTGCACAATCTTCCTGTTCCACTTAGGGAATTTAGGTTCAGGTTTTGAACACCCCTTCTGCCCAGTCCCAGCAGTGCATTTTTAGTGTAAAATTAGCGCAAACTGGGATTTGCCACTTTTGTATAAAAAACAATCCAGGAAAGATCTTGAAAGCCCTTCCCTGCTTTATATTGTGTGAATGAGTTTGCTGAAGTTTTGGAGTAAGATCATCATTATCTTCATGTCACGCTTTCCCCCTCACTTCTGTGAAACAGCATTTTGAAAAAATAGTGTCTTAAATACAAATAGTAGTGGGAGGACTAGTGCTTCAGATTCTGAGCCAGTTATCCTGCTCATTTTGAGTGTTGATAATTATGTGAGTAATGTTTTCTTCCACTAAACTAAAATTTGGACTCTAATTCTTTAAAGTTATTCTGATGGTGGGAGTTTTCTTTTAAGGTGATGATACAGGAGAAGGGGGAAACAAGTCTGATGGACAGCTAGTACTCTGTCAATAAATATTCATTTCATATTAAATTTCTAAATTTACTGTAAATTTTGACTTGTCATTTAATTTTCAATAAGTAACTGATTTAATTTTGTACAGTTGTCAGTTTTGAAATAAATATTCATCAAAATTAATTTAAAAAAACTGATTCTTTCCAAGCTTACATTTAACCTATATTCATTACATCATCCAATCATTAACTTTCATCAAGAGTCTTAAGAAACTGCAGCTTCTCTCTTCCTTCCTCCCCTCCCCGTAGGTGTTACACTCACAATCTCTGCATATTGATGTTCGGAACGCCTGTATAAATTATCTTCGGAAAAACAGAGAAAAATTTGAAGCAGTAAGTAAATGCCATTTTTCTTCCTAAGTATTTTCTTGCTCTTTTCCTAGCTCTGCTCTACTGTTTTGTAGCAGGGTTTCTAACAATTAGATTCTACCTAGGTAGGTGTTTAAAGCAAGTGCTTTTAAAAGGAATTGCTGCTTGTTCACTACGTTGGGTGAAAAGCACAGTCCACACCAATTACTAAGCTTAACTAGTAAGAAAGTTTTAGGGCAGTATACTACCACCTTAATGAAGCATAAAGCAAAAATAAAACAGAGCAGGATAGAGCAGTGATCAGTTACCCAGTCCTGGGGGGCAGGCAGGCTGTTTCTGTCATCATCAGATCGGATCTGGTGAATGTTCTGCATTTATCTCTCCTCCCCCCCCTTGTGCCTGAATGATGTTACAAGATATAAAGGATGTGTACATAACAAATTATTAGAGCTACTATATCTTTAAATATTGTCATACGTATATCATAACTGACCCCAAATCCTTCTAATACATTATTACTTATTCTGATAAAACTCTAATTGGCCTTTTCTTATCTATCTTTTTTTTTCCCCCTGTGCTACCCTCCTCCTTACTCAATCCAATCATTTTTTCAATGCTTTAATGTGTTCCATTATTTCTTAAAACAGTTGTCTTATTCTTATGTATCTGTTTCTTGTGGCCTTGGAGGAGTTGTTTGGTTATTTTTCTCCAGTCAGTATCCATCCTCCCTAGTCTGTCTTACTATGGAGATCCACACCTGGCTAGTAAATCACACATTTGTCTGGTTTGCTTTGCCTCATTATCTACACAGACCAAGAATCCACTGAAGATAAGGCACAAACCATCTTTAGGAGATTTGATTTTTTTTTTTTTTTTTGCAACCTTTGAAGTTTTTTTTTAGCAGATTCTAGAGCTGTGTCATAAAACATATACAGAAAGCAGAAAAAATTTGCTTTTACATTTTCTCATAACACTGTTAACTATATATCTACTTTTCTAACACCGTTCATTATACATTTCTTTACAACTAATAACTAGACCCCATGAGCTTATTGGAAGATATACATTTCTTGGAATGCGCCCTCCCCCTTCCCCCCCCTTTTAAAAATGTGTACTAACCATACTAAAATAAAAAGCTATTCAGCTGTAAGTTTCCTGTGGTATTGCTCCAGATTATTAATAGATTGCTGAAGAATGTTCCCACTTACTTTATAGCAGTCATAATATAATTGTGTAACTAAATTCTCACATTTTGATGAGTATTATATTTTTAGCATGACTAAGACTGAGATTTGACTAATAAGGTGTCATTGATACTAATGGATTTTTAAAGTGACTTTTTTTATTATGTGGTGTGATCATGTTACATGGAGCTTTTCAAACATGTAAGAAACAAAGTTCCCCAGTAAGGGGCCTATAGTCTAATTCTTACAAGCAATTTATAGTTTTATAAGGAATACCATGTCTGTAGATGTAAATTCTGTAATTGCAAACCTCTGAAAAAAATCATGGACATGATTTTTACATCCTATAATAATCCTATAGCATCATTTGATGATTGTAATCAAAGGTGGTATCGGCAGCATTTAGAGTTTGTTTACATTTGATAATTTAAGGTAACTTATGATGATAGGTCAGTGCAGGAAGGAGTACACTGTTCATGCTCTTATTTATGTGTAAAGGTCACCATAGGTAACACACAAAAACAAAGGTTCCATTGCCCACTCCGTAAATTTTCAAATAAGTACCTTTATGCTTTCTCCCATGCTGCTCCATGTGCTTGAGAGGTACTCCTTGCAGACCTTCACAGATTCTTTGCCAAGATGCTTACAAAAAACTTGACAACAGTTAAGCTTTGGTGTGCTGAAACCTCTACCTATCCTGCTGACCAATATTGTCTCATTGTTTCTTTGTATTCCCACGTCTGTCTCTCAGAATCATGCTTAGACTGTAAGATCTTTGGGGTGGGGACCATCTTTATGTTCTGGTGTTTGTATAGCACCTCGCATAGTGGGGTCCTGGTCCAGGACTAGGGCTCCTGGGTATTATGGTAATTAATAATCTAATAAACCATTTTCGATCATATTTTTACAGTTTATAGAGGGGCCATTTGAAGAGTATTTAAAATGTTTGGAAAACCCACAGGTATGTATTACTTAATTAAACTTGCATTATAGAATATAATATCTATTTATTTTGGCTGACTGAAATTAGCTTAAGATATCTCAGTGCATTATATGTAGAACGTGTACAGACACATTTGATGTATGCATACACTGTTTTGGAGTTTCAATTTATTTGAAAAAAATTCTTTCAAAAATGACAATTTTGAAAGATCATAAAATTACATGTGGGCAGATGCTTGCTTCTGTATTTGTTTTGTTTTTGTGTGGTATGACAACAGTGTATGTAAGAAGAGGACTATGGTTTTTTAAGCAGTTTTTGTTCAGTCTCTGGCTGCATTTCCTTTTTTAATTATGTAATAGTCTTTGTCACCATCACCAGCAGTGGTACCATAGTTGGCACAGGTGGTAGGCCTCTGCTTCCCACATGACTATGTCTCTCTTGTTGGTATGTGAAATCTATGGAGTGAGAGGGACTGGTGTTCCAGGGAGTATTAACTTACCTACAGTACCATTGTTATGTTACTCTGAAAGGGAAACACATTTTTAAAAAATGAACCAAAACAGTTGTGGGGTTTTTTTTTTGTTTTTTTTTAAATTTTAAATATTCTTTTAAAACCCAAATGTCGCTCCCTTGTGCTAGTGGACAAGCATCAGAAAATGAAACTGACCAGTTTTCTTTATACAAGCTTAAGGAAGTTCAAATGGTAAATAAAAACCTAAATGGAAATTCTCTCAGTTTGTTATCTAAGGTGCTAACAAAGGTGAGGAGATTTGGCTTTTGAAAATATGATGTTTAACTCTCCAGAGTATAGGAAAAACAAAATAAAAAGAAAGTGATGCAGTAACTAGAATTAACTAACATTACTAGATCTAGCTAATAAAATATTTTTTTAAGAGCGAGACATTTTTAATAACGTGTACATGCACCCATTCTCAGAGGTCCTACCATGACCTTTCTGCCATTCCAAAAAGGTCATGAGACTATATGGCCACCCAAGTGAACTTTTGTTCTCAGCTTCTACAAATGATCTGCAAAGGAAAAAAAATGGATTTGTGTCTTTTACTTCTTTATGGCCTTATCTGCGTAGGGGTGTCTAGTCACTGGTGAAACTATAGTGATGCAGCTGCATAGCACAAACTCTTAGTCTAGATACTGTGCACTGATGTAATCCATGACTTTCTCCCATAAACTAATTTAAATTGTGGTTTACAGCAGGGCAGCATGTTTACAGTAGAGGTTGCATTGATGCAGCTACATTGGTGGCAAAACCCCTTGGCATAGACATGCCCTATCATGTGTACAAAAGTCAGGAAAGCTCTACCTGTATAATGTAAAATGAGCTGTTTTGCTTTTTATTTTTAAAGAAGCCAAAGAGGACACACGGGGTGTTACTTTTACTCCTCTCTTAACTACATTTCAGAAAATAGGCAACTAGAAATTCACCTTTCAGCTCTGTGCTAAATGAATTTCAGTTGATTTAGTTTAGTATGAAATTAACAAACTTTTAAAAAAAACCCTGAAGAATAAAAACTAAAGGTCCAGTCACATCTTAAATAAGAGTTGTTGGACAATGCATTAGGGTGGTAATGAATACAGCAACTTTCACTTCTTAGGGCTTGTTTACAGTAGGAGTTTATTATGCCTTGTTAGTTTGTGTACATTAAAAAGACGTGTATCCACACAACACAACTCTGAAAGCATACTAACCAGTTAGTTAATACGTATTCTTTAATGCACTTTGAAAATGTATTAAGTTAATTGCATATTGAGTTAGAGGTTTGAATCTGGCTATGTTAGTATTGACCACAGCTCTTTATCATCTGTCAGCTGTTTGATCTTTGAGAAGCAAGGTGTTAGCCTCATTCTAGATACTAGTGGATAGGTGTGCACATAAAAATAACACCACCAGAACCATGATGTTGATTTTTGTTGGCAATCTCTGCAGAACTACATGGTTATCTCTGAAGTGGTCCCTCCAGTTAAGCATTAAGGCACTCCACCAGTCATTGTGAAGAAGCTTGTGTTTGTTTTCTGTGTCTGTCTTGGAATTTGATTAAACAGAAGACTTGAATTCCAGGATACTCATTCCAGTACCTTTTTGTACCTACATTAAGGAACAGAATTTAAAATGTAGGTTTTGAGTGCCAGGTTGCTTTGATATTACTTCTCTAAAGGAGAATCTTGACAACCCGTTCAGATTTGTTGAAGGAACAATCGAGAATGGATTAAAGAGAGCCATTAGAATTAATTTGGACTTTCAAAAAGTCTTTGATAAAGTTCTCACTGGAAAATATTAGTGTCAGAATTGCTTCTCTGCTTTACTCTTGCACTGGGTGGGGAATTGCAGAAGTTGGTAACTTACTGAAGTCCATATGTGCCCCCTCTCTGTCCTGTTTGTGGCAGGGAAGTAATGGCTGCACAGAATCTACTGTCCCTCTTGCACATGGACCCAAGGTCCAGGGATGCTGTATAGGGGATTGTAGGTGGAGAGTATGATTTAATCCTCTTTATAGCCTGTGTGGCTGTGGTAAGATCACTCACAAGCTGCAGTTACACTAGATAGGAACAAATTTTACAAGGCATGTCAACTATTGTACTTCAGGACAGTGGGCCCCTAAATGCCTGATCCAGCACTCCCTGAAGTCCATGTTAGTCTTTTCATTGATTTTTAATGGGACGTGGATTGTGTCCTAACTGCCTGGAGTTTGGAAGACTCTTCCCTCCCTATATAGGCAGCAATATTGTGTAATTGTCTAGTATGGGTGATTTATACTTACAAACAAGGTACCAGACTGGATGGGCATATGGTTTATAGGTGGAGAGTACGATTTAATTCTTTTACATCCCATGTGGCTACGGTAAGATTGCCCACAATCTGCTGTCACACTACAGAGGAACAAATTTAATAAAGGGATGTTATGTGATTCCTATTACATTCTGCTTTATAAAGCATAATCATATGATATTGAGTTTAGAACATCTATTAAATAAAGAAAAAAGGCATAGCGGGGAAAAAAATGAACACTGATAGAAATGATTTTCTTATCTTCAGGGTAATAACCATTTACTTTCTTCTTGCTGATTAACTTAAGGGGCAGGGAGGGAAGACAGCAGATTCTTATCTCACTATGATACTTATAGGTGAATGTAGGCAGCAACAGCAAGTGGGCAATAACTGGCTGATATAGACAATAAGTTGTCTGTCCTGTCTGGTTATGAAACAAAAGATCTTTCAGGGTAAAAGGCAAGATTTTTTGCACTGCCTAGGCCGTAGTATCTTAGTTCCCCAATGTATTTAGAAATAGAAATAATAGTATGACACCTCTCAGAATGGGTGCTTATTTAGGCCTGTTTCTCTTTATTTAATTTAAGACCTGCAAGGACAGTTTTAAAGGTATTGGGTAAAATTTTCAAAAGCACCTAATAGACTTAGGAGTGGTGACTTTTAGTGGGAGGTAGGCTTCAAAGGGTATGTCTACACTACGGAATAAGGTCGAATTTATAGAAGTCGGTTTTTTAGAAATCGGTTTTGTATATTCGAGTGTGTGTGTCCCCACAGAAAATGCTCTAAGTGCATTAATTCGGCGGAGTGCTTCCACAGTGCCGAGGCTAGAGTCGACTTCCGGAGCGTTGCACTGTGGATAGCTATCCCACAGTTCCCGCAGTCTCCGCTGCCCATTGGAATTCTGGGTTGAGATCCCAATGCCTGATGGGGCTAAAACATTGTCGCGGGTGGTTCTGGGTACATATTGTCAGGCCCCCCCTTCCCTCCCTCCCTCCGTGAAAGCAAGGGCAGACAATCATTTTGCGCCTTTTTTCCTGAGTTACCTGTGCAGACGCCATACCATGGCAAGCATGGAGCCCGCTCAGGTAACCGTCACCATATGTCTCCTGGGTGCTGGCAGACGCGGTACGGCATTGCTACACAGTAGCAGCAACCCATTGCCTTGTGGCAGCAGATGGTACAGTACGACTGGTAGCCGTCCTCGTCACGTACGAGGTGCTCCTGGCCACGTCGGCTGGGAGCGTCTGGGCAGACATGTGCGCAGGGACTAAATTTGGAGTGACTTGACCAGGTCATTCTCTTTAGTCCTTCAGTCAGTCCTATTGAACCGTCTTATGGTGAGCAGGCAGGCGATAAGGATTGCTAGCAGTCCTATTGCATCATCTTCTGCCGGGCAGGCAAGAGATGAGGATGGCTAGCAGTCGTACTGCACCATCTTCTGCTGAGCAGCCATGAGATGTGGATGGCATGCAGTCCTTCTGCACCGTCTGCTGCCAGCCAAAGATCTAAAAGATAGATGGAGTGGATCAAAACAAGAAATAGACCAGATTTGTTTTGTACTAATTTGCCTCCTCCCCCGTCTAGGGGACTCGTTCCTCTAGGTCACACTGCAGTCACTCACAGAGAAGGTGCAGCGAGGTAAATCTAGCCAAGTATCAATCAGAGGCCAGACTAACCTCCTTGGTGCACCTAAGTTATTGTTCTTATTGGAACATTTCTTATTGGAACCCTCCGTGAAGTCCTGCCTGAAATACTCCTTGATGTAAAGCCACCCCCTTTGTTGATTTTAGCTCCCTGAAGCCAACCCTGTAAGCTGTGTCGCCAGTTGCCCCTCCCTCCGTCAGAGCAATGGCAGACAGTCGTTCCGCGCCTTTTTTCTGTGCGGACGCCATACCAAGGCAAGCATGGAGGCCGCTCAGCTCACTTTGGCAATTAGGAGCACATTAAACACCACACGCATTATCCAGCAGTATATGCAGCACCAGAACCTGGCAAAGCGATACCGGGCGAGGAGGCGACGTCAGCACGGTCACGTGAGTGATCAGGACATGGACACAGATTTCTCTGAAAGCATGGGCCCTGCCAATGCATGCATCATGGTGCTAATGGGGCAGGTTCATGCTGTGGAACGCCGATTCTGGGCTCGGGGAAACAAGCACAGACTGGTGGGACCACATAGTGTTGCAGGTCTGGGACGATTCCCAGTGGCTGCGAAACTTTTGCATGCATAAGGGCACTTTCATGGAACTTTGTGACTTGCTTTCCCCTGCCCTGAAGCGCATGAATACCAAGATGAGAGCAGCCCTCACAGTTGAGAAGCGAGTGGCGATAGCCCTGTGGAAGCTTGCAACGCCAGAGAGCTACCAGTCAGTTGGGAATCAATTTGGAGTGGGCAAATCTACTGTTGGGGCTGCTGTGATGCAAGTAGCCCACGCAATCAAAGATCTGCTGATATCAAGGGTAGTGACCCTGGGAAATGTGCAGGTCATAGTGGATGGTTTTGCTGCAATGGGATTCCCTAACTGTGGTGGGGCCATAAAAGGAACCCATATCCCTATCTTGGCACCGGAGCACCAAGCTGCCGAGTACGTAAACCGCAAGGGGTACTTTTCAGTAGTGCTGCAAGCTCTGGTGGATCACAAGGCACGTTTCACCAACATCAACGTGGGATGGCCGGGAAAGGTACATGACGCTCACATCTTCAGGAACTCTGGTCTGTTTCAAAAGCTGCAGGAAGGGACTTTATTCCCAGACCAGAAAATAACTGTTGGGGATGTTGAAATGCCTATTTGTATCCTTGGGGACCCAGCCTACCCCTTAATGCCATGGCTCATGAAGCCGTACACAGGCAGCCTGGACAGTTGTCAGGAGCTGTTCAACTACAGGCTGAGCAAGTGCAGAATGGTGGTAGAATGGTGCATTTGGACGTTTAAAAACGCGCTGGTGCAGTTTACTGACTCGGTTAGACCTCAGCGAAACCAATATTCCCACTGTTATTACTGCTTGCTGTGCTCTCCACAATATCTGTGAGAGTAAGGGGGAGACGTTTATGGAGGGGTGGGAGGTTGAGGCAAATCGCCTGGCGGCTGGTTACGCTCAGCCAGACACCAGGGCGGTTAGAAGAGCACAGGAGGGCGCGGTACGCATCAGAGAAGCTTTGAAAACCAGTTTCATGACTGGCCAGGCTACGGTGTGAAAGTTCTGTTGGTTTCTCCTTGATGAAACCCCCCGCCCCTTGGTTCACTCTACTTCCCTTTAAGCTAACTAGCCTCCCCTCCTCCCTTTGATCACCGCTTGCAGAGGCAATAAAGTCATTGTTGCTTCACATTCATGCATTCTTTATTCATTCATCACACAAATAGGGGGATGACTACCAAGGTAGCCCAGGAAGGGTGGTGGAGGAGGGAAGGAAAATGCCACAGAGCACTTTAAAAGTTTACAACTTTAAAATTTATTGAATGCCAGCCTTCTTTTTTTTTTTTTTTGGGCAATCCCTCTGTGGCGGAGTGGCTGGTTGGCCGGTGGCCCCCCCCACCGCGTTCTTAGGCGTCTGGGTGTGGAGGCTATGGAACTTGGGGAGGAGGGCGGTTGGTTACACAGGGGCTGTAGTGGGGCAGTCTGTGCTCCAGCTGCCTTTGCTGCAGCTCAACCATACACTGGAGCATACTGGTTTGGTCCTCCAGCAGTCTCAGCATTGAATCCTGCCTCCTCTCATCACACTGCCGCCACATTTGAGCTTCAGCCCTGTCTTCAGCCCGCTACCTCTCCTTCCGGTCATTTTGTGCTTTCCTGCACTCTGACATTATTTGCCTCCACGCATTCGTCTGTGCTCTGTCAGTGTGGGAGGACAGCATGAGCTCGGAGAACATTTCATCTCGAGTGCATTTTTTTTTCTTTCTAATCTTCACTAGCCTCTGGGAAGGAGAAGATCCTGTGATCATTGAAACACATGCAGCTGGTGGAGAAAAAAAAAGGGACAGCGGTATTTAAAAAGACACATTTTATAAAACAGTGGCTACAGTCTTTCAGGGTAAACCTTGCTGTTAACATTACATACATAGCACATGTGCTTTCGTTACAAGGTCACATTTTGCCTCCCCCCTCACCGTGTGGCTACCCCCTCAACCCTCCCCCCTCCCTGTGGCTAACAGCGGGGAACATTTCTGTTTAGCCACAGGCAAACAGCCCAGCAGGAACAGGCTCCTCTGAGTGTCCCCTGAAGAAAAGCACTCTATTTCAACCAGGTGACCATGAATGATATCTCACTCTCCTGAGGATAACACAGAGAGATAAAGAACGGATGTTGTTTGAATGCCAGCAAACATACACTGCGATGCGTTGTTGTACAATGATTCCCGAGTAAGTGTTACTGGCCTGGAGTGGTAAAGTGTCCTATCATGAAGGACACAATAAGGCTGCCCTCCCCAGAAACCTTTTGCAAAGGCTTTGGGAGTACATCCAGGAGAGCCGCGAATGCCAGGGCAAAGTAATCCTTTCACATGCTTGCTTTTAAACCATGTATAGTATTTTAAAAGGTACACTCACCGGAGATCCCTTCTCTGCCTACTGGGTCCAGGAGGCAGCCTTGGGTGGGTTCGGGGGGTACTGGCTCCAGGTCCAGGGTGAGAAACCGTTCCTGGCTGTCAGGAAAACCGGTTTCTCCGCTTGCTTGCTGTGAGCTATCTACAACCTCATCATCATCTTCTTGTCCCCAAAACCTGCTTCAGTGTTGCCTCCATCTCCATTGAAGGAGTCAGACAACACGGTTGGGGTAGTGGTGGCTGAACCCCCCTAAAATGGCATGCAGCTCATCATAGAAGCGGCATGTTTGGGGCTCTGACCCGGAGCGGCCGTTCGCCTCTCTGGTTTTCTGGTAGGCTTGCCTCAGCTCCTTCAGTTTCACGCGGCACTGCTTTGGGTCCCTGTTATGGCCTCTGTCCTTCATGCCTTGGGAGGTTTTGGCATTTCAAAAACTGGAACGGAGTTCTGATAGCACGGATTCCTCTCCCCATACAGCAATCGGATCCCGTACCTCCCGTTCGGTCCATGCTGGAGCTCTTTTGCGATTCTGGGACTCCATCATGGTCCCCTCTGCTGATGAGCTCTGCATGGTCACCTGCAGCTTGCCACGCTGACCAAACAGGAAATGAGATTCAAAAGTTCGCGGTTCTTTTCCTGTCTACCTGGTCAGTGCACCTGAGTTGAGAGTGCTGTCCAGAGCGGTCACAATGGAGCATTCTGGGATAACTCCCGGAGGCCAATACCATCGAATTGTGTCCACAGTACCCCAAATTCGAGCCGGCAAGGCCGATTTAAGCGCTAATCCACTAGTCGGGTGGAGTAAGGAAATCGATTTTAAGAGCCCTTTAAGTCAAAATAAAGGGCTTCATCGTGTGGACGGGTGCAGGTTTACATCAATTTAATGCTGCTAAATTCGACCTAAAGTCCTAGTGTAGACCAGGGCAAAGTCAGTTTTCAAAATTTTACCCATTGGTTGCCTAGGTTGACTTACGTACCTTTACAACTTTATTTTCGTTACGTTTTGATCCCAGATTACATTTTCTTATGCATGATGATCTTTCATTCTCTAAATCTGTGAAGAGAACAACTATGAAAAACCGTTTCTGTACAGGTTTCAGAGTAACAGCCGTGTTAGTCTGTATTCGCAAAAAGAAAAGGAGTACTTCTGGCACCTTAGAGACTAACCAATTTATTTGAGCATAAGCTTTCGTGAGCTACAGCTCACTAGACGATGAAGTGAGCTGTAGCTCATGAAAGCTTATGCTCAGATAAATTGGTTAGTCTCTAAGGTGCCACAAGTACTCCTTTTCTTTTTGCGTTTCTATACACTATTCCAAGTTACAAAATCTATGACTTTGATGTTCCATATTCCAAAATGAGCGTGACCACACAAAGTAAAACCTTTGGCTGAAATCCAGGCTTAGAATGTTGTGTATTATCTCATGGAAGTGATTTTTTTGCTTTTTTTTTTTGTTTGTTTTGGTTTATCCAAATGTGCAATAAAACTTTAGTTTATTTGAAAGAATTGCTTTGTTTTTCTTTTTCCATATAGGAGTGGGTTGGACAAGTGGAAATAAGTGCCCTTTCTCTTATGTACAAGTAAGCAAAATTTGAATACTATTTAACGTTGTATAATGGGAAAAATGCAACCTATTTCAATTAATCAGGTGTATATATGAAGTATTTGGCTAATTAAACATTATTTGAAAAATTTGGTCTTTAAATAATGGATCATTCATGTTGAAAAACCAAACGATGTCAATGAAATATTACTTTCAAAGTACTAGGTGAGCTTTAGGTGCATGAAGTTGCATGTTACTTTGTATGAGGTTCTATGCAGTTTGCATTTTAGGCAGCCAGTGAGACTCAGTTTTAGAGCCATGAACTCTGGACAGATGAAAGATGATAGAACTGCTGGTGAGGACATATTTAATCTCTAAGGACAGGCTGCTGGTGGTCTTGTTGCTTCATTACTTTTTGCTGGATAGTTATGGGCCAAATTTATCCCTAGTGTAGACAGGCGCAACTCCATTGAAGACAGTCATTTCACTTGCTTGCACCAGTACTGAATCTGGATTTATGTCTCTAGACAGAACCACTTACCTGACCTCATAACTGGAGGGGGAAGTCTGATGGTGAAATAAAAATAGATAAATTGCTCTGAAGGCAGGATATATTTGCATCCAGGACCCCAAGTGTTAAACACCAAGACAGACACACACCAGGGAACCTCCTCTTCTCATTAGCAAGTGGTGGGAGGAGTGTGGTGCTGGTATTTCCCTGCAGAGTGAAAAATGCAAGAATCTTTACAGTTTCCACGGTATGCATCTGATGAAGTGAGCTGTAGCTCACGAAAGCTCATGCTCAAATAAATTGGTTAGTCTCTAAGGTGCCACAAGTACTCCTTTTCTTTTTGCAAGAATCTTTTCAGCTTCACACCGCTACTGGGAAAGCGGGGGCAGCAGCAGAGGCACTGGCATGTTTAGAGGGGAAACCACCACTTCCTCTTTCTGGAGGAGGTGGGAGGAAAAATCGTGTTTCCCTTCCCCCTTTCTGAGAAAAGAGGAGGTATACATTTACAGGCATAGGGAGGGATGACAGGCTACTCTTGCCAGACACTAGTCAAGAAAAAAAATGGAAGATCAGACCAGTTTCTGCTCCATCCCAATCGTTGTTACTGGCCTTTTGTTGGCTGATGTCTGGTAATTTTTTCTAGATCTCCTGAAAAAAGATGGCTTCTTTGAAAGATGGAAGAACTTAATGATCAAGGAGATTTAGAATACATTTTTCCTTTCCAAACTATTGCTTCTTGATTTGTTTTTAGAATATTTTTCTCTCTCTAAAAATTTACCTATGAACACACTAATTAATCGTGCAGAGTTTATTAGTGTTTCTGATTAGATTAGGAGACTAAGAAATTGGAAAAAACAATAGTGATTACTGAACAAAGAATTAAAATAGTGGGAATTTTATCCAAAGGATAAATACAAAAGATAATGATGGAGATTGATAGATATTCTCTTTCACTCACACTCTTGTGGAACAGAAAAGGCAAATAAGATAGCATGTGGGTTTTAACTGTGAATTTTCCAGTTCTTGTTAGTTTGTATCACTTTTGACATTTTATGTGCTACTTTTTATGGTAATAAAAGAAAAAACTTCTCTTTAAATGCAAATTTGGAATAATATAGTTTAGTTAAGTTATAATATGGAATAGGCTCTTTGTGTGTTTGTGCTGAATCCTTCTAAGTATGATATGGAAGAGTTATTTCCACTTGAAAAGCCATCACTGCATTTGTGCAACATCTACTTGGCAACACATACCTTTTGTACAAGGTGAATCTCAGTGTTGGATTGACAGCTTTGGAGATGGAAATCCTCTAACTGCACAACAGTTCAGTGTGGCAGGGATAGTACAAACTTCCTCATGTTGCCTCACCAATGTTCTTCAACTCTGTTATAGGAATAAGAAACCAGTCTCTATGCCTGTTAATATATTATTAATATTTATATGCAAAGCAACAAATGAGTTTCAGTTGGTTACCATATTACATTAGCCATTTGACAAGAAATGAAACAAAATTAGGAGGCCTCTATACACTGTTGTTTTTTACTTCTTGATTATAGTACATTAACCATTCTAAACTAGTGGAGTGAGAAGTTCTATGAGAATTTTGAATAGTTACTTGGGAGAGAAAGGGAGAAACATCCTGACTTAAACTAAACTACCTTCTGCATTTGTCCAGATTGTTAATGCTTTGGTATTTATAACTCTCAATTTTATGGTCTGATGTTTCCAAGTTTAACTTTTACTGGTTTCATACAGTGAGATTCTACGTTAACTGAGTATAATGGATTTATATATCCTGTTATTGTTTAGAGGAATAGTATTGTATTCATCTGCAAGGTTCACTTGTACTTTGGGCTGGTCGAAATTCTCTGAATCTGTTTTTGGGCAGAAAATTGAGGGTTGTGGTTTTTTTTTTTTTTTTTTTTTCTTTAGTGCCTAGTTTCCATGGTGTGCGTGGGTTTGTTTTTAATCAGAAAACTGACATATTTTGACTTAGAAATACTACTGTGGTACTGCATGGAAGTCAGAGTTCAGTTGCCTCATGACCCCATTGTCCTCTATGGACTGGGTTTCCCCAAGACGTACTGTGGCCTAGGATTCCCATGATGCACTGCTTTCCCTCTCCAGGCGGGTGAAGGACCATAGTGCACCATAAGAGATGTAGTCCAATCAGAGAGCTTAGCCTATAGAGAAAAATTAAGACGAGGCAACCAAACTATAGCTCCCATGAGGTACTGCACCAGGAGTTCCAAAATATTTTGGTATTTGAATTTCTGCTGAGAAAATCAAAATTTTCTGTGGCAAATAAACCCCCTCTCCTCCCCCCCCCGCTCTGCTTATACTAATGTTACTCACTATTCTTGATTGGTGTTTTTTTTTTTTTTTTTTAAGCAGTCTTATCCTTAGATAGTCCTTGAATTTTCGCTTGGATTCTCACTCTGAATATATTTTCACTTGAATTCTTGTTTTTTCTAGGAAGGATTTTATAATATATCAGGAACCAAATGCTTCTCCTTCACGTGTAACTGAAAATGGCTTTCCTGATAAGGTAAAACAAAACCATCCAAAAATATTTTTATGACTAATGTAAGATGCAATTATCAAATAACATGTTCTTAAAGTAAATAGGTAATCACAAGTCTCATTACTCAATACACAAGTAATGTATATTTTTAATAGCCTAGGACTTGTGACATTCTCAAACTGTAACAACAGTCTTCTCTAATGAAATATGAAACAACAGTAAAATTCTCAAAACAGTGTGGCCCCTAGTTTTGGATATTTAATGGAACAATAGAATGAAATCATAACTTATGTCTACAGAAATAACTCAAATTGTAATATGTTTGATAGCTATTTGGTTAGGTATTAATATGTAGTTGGCTTATTTAAAAAGGGGTCTTAAATTCCTTAGTATTGTACATGTTTATAATATCAAATTATCTGCTACAAATCAAACCTCTTACATACATTTTTCTGTATTACTAGAATTTTTCTATTTGACTAGATCCAGTGAATATCCACAGAAAATTATAGTATATTTTTTTCTCTCTAGTAATTATGAAGTCCTGAAAATTTTTCAGCACAGTATGTGGGCACATAGCATCTTTTTTTAATGCAGTTCTGTGATCACTTTATAAAATGAACATGAAAAATCACTTGTTTAAATATCCTTTCTTTCCTCTTCTCTAGATACTACTGTGTTTTTCAAATGGAAATCACTATGATATTGTTTATCCTATAGAGTATACAGAAAGAGCTGCTTTGTGCCAATGTAAGTACTATTTTGGTAGGTAAGCTTTGCAGTAAACTATATGGTTTCACCAAAGGCTCCAAAAAGTGATTGCCATTTGTTTTGAGCTATTAATAAATCTTCATGTAGAGCTCTTTTCCTTTGCTTAAAGTATAGTTGTACCTAAACCTACCATTGTAGTGTTGTGGTTTTCAACTCGTGTAGAACTACAGTCAACAAAGGCTGCATGATCCTGACCAGAGATTTGGATTATGATCTTGTTATCTTTTGAGACATGATGAAATTGATTGCGTATAGTAAAGGAAAGAGAGAGATCAGTATTTATCATTTGTAAGGCTAAATGCAAAAGAAATAGAAAAGGATAGCCTAGGTTAGTTCCTCTTTATTGGGCCTGGATACTCTATCATTGAGACTTCAACCTCCTAATTCATAGTGAATTGCATTATCACTTGGCCACAATGCCAGTTTTATATCTGTACTCTAAACAATAAGAGAAAATTTGTCAATGTTAATCTTAGAGTCCTTGCATGTCTGAATTTCCACTGAAGTCAGGTGTGTTAATGAGCATGAATGAGAATTTTTATTAGTATTGCAGTAATGCCCAAAGGCCTCTGTCAGGTATTAGGGCCCACTGTGCCAGGTACTCTACAGACATAGGCCTTCATTCTTCAGTAGGGCACAGTGTGCATGCCCATCCAATTGCACGACCCCAAAGAGCTGAGGGCTTAGTTTTTAGTAGTGCTGAGCATCCACAGTTGAAATCAATGGGAACTTCAGGGGCTCTGCACTTGTAAAAATCTGGTGCTTATAATCTGTAAACTGTTATTCCATTTCTTCTTCACCTACATTTCAAAAAGTTTTCTTGACACTATTTAAAATAACCTCTCAAATGTTGAGTAAAATCTCATTTACAGTCATTAAATCCTAACTGATTTCTCCCCCAGCTCTTCTTTATGAATTGTTGTATGAAAAAGTGTTTTGTACTGATGTGAATAAAATCCTAGTGGAACTTGGTGTGACAGAAGAAAATAATGGTAGCAGTGAAGTGTCTGATTCAGATTCAGAAGACGACAACTGCAAGTAAGGGATATTTTAAAATTAATTATTCAGTTATGGTTGAACAATTCACAGTGATTAGATATTCAGTAGAGCTCCTGGCAGGAAGCAAAATGCTATGTGTCATTCTTTTACTTTCAAGAGGGAGGAAAAAGGTCAAGTGTGAATTGTAATGCTCATGAAAGTATGAAATTTGTACTGTTCACTAGATCTTATATAGGATTTTGTGGTGCCTTCTGCAATCAGAGGGGTGGTTTTGCCTGCATTCCAGGTTTGGCTCACCTGTAGTAGAGGAAGTTCTATCACTGCTGCATGCCCCCTCTTCCTGTCAAACCACAGAAGCAGCTCTGTGGGGAATTTGGCAGTGTTCCAGCTCCATATGGGAGGGAGGGAATGTAATGAGGTATGAGGGTTGTCTGTGTAGGATTCTCCTCCTGCTGAAAACCATTGGAGGAAACCACTTCAGAAAGAAGGTCAAATTCTGATCTTGTTTAAATGTGTGTAAATAGTAACTCCATAGACTACAGAGGAATTATTCCAGATTTACACTCGTGTAACTGAGAGCAGAATTGAGACAAGAATCTGCTTCAACTTGTGATGCTTCCTTCTCTGTGGAATGCCCACTGGGAGGGGTCCCAGGGCAACTGGGGGAGCCCGTGGCAGCATGGCTTTTGCAATGTATCAGTATTTGAATCCTTATGAGCATATGATGCTAAATAATGTATTTTTGTAACTGAGGGCATATAGTCATTTGAGACTAGACTGAGACCACCAAACTCTTCTTTCTTTTTTACTTTATCCAGATTTCCAATGAGAGAAAGCTAGTGCTTGTAACCTTACTCCTGTCTCAACACAAATTACATACAATTTGCTGCTTTCGTTAAGCAGTATTTTAAAATTATTTTTTCTTGTTTTTAGGGAAAAGTTGAGTTTAGTGTGTGTGTTCTTAATTATTTATCTGGAGGGAGTTTTATTTTATTTTATTTTTTTGAGGAAGAGTGAATCTAATTTTCATAGAAATTAAAATTTTTGCCATAGCTGCTATTATGTAATGAAGAAAGCAGTAAACTGTTCAAATGCAGTTCTTGGAAACAAATGATGCTTTTTTCCCTCTGTTCATGGGAAGCAAATTTTCTAATAGCAGCAGGTGTAGAAGATGGGGGGAAAATGAGAAAGTAAATATGAGTTGCTTAAATCGCCTCATTTGTTTCTTCAGATGAGTTGGGTTGTTTTCTCTCAGGCCTGTTTGCTAAAGTCTTAACTAGAGGACTTACATTTCCTGTTTCAAACTTTTACTGGGTGAGTTGCTAATCTGATTTAGAACTGTACAGTCTATACTGAATTTTATTTGTGAATGTAATGAGAGTAGCTTTTATTTTGGGGAACTTCATAATTATGCCTCTAAGAGCAATATATTCACCATTGCATATAGTGTGAAATTTTTTAACTTCATTATGAAGGTTATGGGTAATTCTTGTGTACAATATGGAAGGTATTTCTGACCAGTTTGTGAATCCTAATTTTAACGGTGTCATTTAAAGCATCTTCTTTTTTACAGAAGTAAAACTGCTGCAGTTAATGATATGAATGGATTAAAGTCTTTTTCTGGCAACAAGGTATTTTTACATTAACACTTCTTTCCCTCTTTGTTGTACTTGGCTGTATTTTACAAAGGTTACTGTTTCTCGAGTAACTTGAGTTTCTTCATTTTTAAATATGGTACATTAGGAGAATTATATAGTTGTTAAAATTATATTCAAATTTGCATTTGAAATCTCAGGGGTTAGGGGCTATCCTTACTGTTGCTTAGTGTCTAGTTTTGTTGCTGTATGTTAAAAGAAAATTCCCTTGAATTAAACTTCCATAGCTGTTAATGCTTTTATGAGCACCTAACTGCTTTACATTCCAGTTTGAAGCTTATGTGAGTGATATGATACTAAATGAGCTGCTATAAATCTCTATGTATTTGATCACTTGCTATTTTGTTCTGTTTTGTACAGCACCTTAGGAACAATGGAAATCCTATCTCATTTTTGCCTAGAAAAGTTCTTAAATCACTCAATCCGTCATTTTACAGAAATGTTGAATATGAAGTTTGGCTACAGTCAAAAGAGGGTAAGTTAGTATTTAAGGCCCCATTGAGAGCCCCTCTCTGTCAAGCTGATCTATAAGGGTGGGCCCTGTGGAGTCCCAAAAATGCTATGAGCAGGTGCAGGGATCTGCCCACATGTGTCAGCTTGCAGATTCAGGGCCTAAATAGTTATTTCAGTCCCAAGATACTAATGGGACAAAAATTTAATTAGATTGTTCTTTGTTGCAGTGCCTAAACTATATTTTTATAACAGGAAGAAAATTACTGTAATCTGACTACTATATACTGATGTTGTTTACAGATCAGCAAAAACGGGATTTTTCCATTGCTGCTGGCATGCAATATTCAATTGGAGATAAATGTAAAGTAAGTAATTGGTTGAAATAGTAACTTCTATGCCTTGTGGCCTGGAGACCAATTTTTTCTTTGGCTTTTGGTTTAACTGCATTGTTAATATTTTCTATTTAAAATTTTTTGCTTACGTTTAAATGAGTATGCTCATTTATTATGTGAATACCCTGAGTTGGAAACTCTGCCAATAAAGATGCAGTAGGATGTGCTTGGGAAGTATAAAGCGTGATAAAATTTGTTGTGCAAAAGGCCTCAGTCCTGCGGACACTCATGTGCTTAACTTCCCAAGTTACATTCAGTAGGACAGTTGATGTGCTTAAACTGAATCACAAGCATAAGTGTTTGCAGTATCAGGGCCTGAGTCCTCATCCAAAAACTAACATTTGGGCCTGTCTCACAAACTTTTGCACCCAGTCTTAATTTTATGATGTGTTTTAGGCCATTTATTGTAGAATAAAATGGTTTATTTAAAAAAAAATCAGTTTCTAACTAGGAGTAAAGTAGTACTGTTTTGGGCAAGAACGCTGGGGATATCCACAGTGAAACAAGAAGACACTGAAGCAGAGTTAAAAAGATGGAGATTTTGCTATAAGCAGTGTTCCTAAGCATGCCCTGTGGATTCTGTTGCAAGTAATGGAAAGCTTGTTTATCTTCTTATATTCTGTACTAATAATGCTTAACTTAATGGTTGTAATATCCAGGCATCACATTATTGGAAAGGGGAAAAGTGACAGCCGTTCTTCTGAATTTCTTGATGAGAAAAAACAGTGATTGGATGCTTAAAAACAATAAATCTTGACATAAAACAAAGTGGGAAAAATTGTAATACTTAACTGTATTTTCATTATGCATCCAGCATTCTATTGTATTATTGTAATGCCTACGGGACCATTTGGGATTCAGGGCCCCATTGTGATAGGCACTGCGCATGCACATGCGTGCACACTCTCCATGCTCCTGGGATTTCACAATCTCTGTATATGACAGGATAATGATAGCTGCATTTAAACAACAAACCAAAAAACCCTAACAAACAAGTGGGCTGGGGAGAACAGGATAAGGATAAACAGTGAAACATACGTGATTAGTGTGGTGTGAGAAGCCTCAGCACCTAAAATGCCTATAAATGTTTTATTGTTTCTTAACCTTAGGAATGTAAACATTTTGTTTGCAGAAACCAGAGTTAATCATTATCATGACTTATTTTTTTTTTTTTACAGCAAATGAAATATATGTTTTTATTTAAAAAAGAAAAACACTGACAAAATGATTGTTTCAGGAGGGAAACTTTTGAAAGGACTGGTATTAGTGTCTCTAGTGTTCCCCGTGAGACTACATTAATAAAGTCCCATCTGTGTCAAAAAATGTTTTATGCTGGAATTTTAACCAAGCTGAGCATTAGGACTCTTTCCAAACAGTATGTTGCTATTCTCTTCTCTAATGTGTCACTTTAAGTTTCAGAGTAGCAGCCGTGTTAGTCTGTATTCGCAAAAAGAAAAGGAGGACTTGTGGCACCTTAGAGACTAACCAATTTATTTGAGCATGAGCTGTAGCTCACGGAAGCTTATGCTCAAATAAATTGGTTAGTCTCTAAGGTGCCACAAGTCCTCCTTTTCTTTTTGCTTTTAAGTGTTGTTCTGTGTTGGTTTGAAAGCTGTGATTTCTCCAACACTTCATAGAGTTGGGGACACTTTTTTTTTTTTTTTTTTTTGTATAAGGTCATTCAAATAAGTAGTATGGGTTAAAGTTTACCTTTTATTATTTTGACCACCATCACTGAAGCAACATTTCTTGATGTCTCCCAGGACTTCTGTTATTGCCAAGGGAGCAGTTGCTGACATTGCTGGGTATTCAAGGGTTAAATCTTCCCTTTTCTTTGTGTTCTTTATGTAATACTCACAACATCTTTTTCCTTATAATTTTTCCACAGGTGCGCTTAGACCACAATGGGAAATTTTATAATGCCCATATCCAAGAGGTTTGCTCTGAGAATGGGCCAGTTATTGTTTTTGTAGAAGAGCTTGGAGAAAAGTAAGTAAACTTTTCATATATAAATTTGTCATATAGAACTTTATTAATGCAGCTTCCCCCTTCTTAGTGTTTTGACACGATCTGCGTGATCATTTTGACATAGCACTACTTCGGATAAAGGGCTGGGTGCATTTCAACAGCAGCTGAAACTGTCTGAACAACAGTTACGTTACTATTATAAAAGGGTGAACTTACTCCCCAACCCTATCTACACACAGCATAAAAATATCTTGTAGCTGTGTACCTCTATAAATTATGGTGTATATATTAGGGCTGTCAAACAATTAAAAGTATCATGTGATTAAAAAAATTAATTGCGATTAAACAATAATAGAATACCATTTTCTACATTTTCAAATATATTGATTTCAATTAGAACACAGAATACAAAGTGTACAGTGCTTATTGTATTGGGTTGTAATAAAAAATAAATATAAAAGTACTGTAGTGCAATCTTTTTATAATGAAAGTTGAACTTACAAATGTAGAATTATGTACAAAAAATAACTGCATTCATAAACAAAACAATGTAAAACTTTAGAACCTACAAGTCTACTCAGTCCCACTTCAGCCAATCACTCAAACAAGTTTGGTTACAATTTGCAGGAGAAAGTGCTGTCCACGTCTTGTTTACAATGTCATCTGAAAGTGAGAACAGCCTTTCACATGGCACTGTTGTAGCCGGCATCGCAAGATATTTATGTGCCAGAGGCGCTAAAGATTCATATGTCCCTTCATGCTTCAACCACCATTCCAGAAGACGTGTCCATGCTGATGATGGGTTCTGATTGATGATAATCCAAAGCAGAGCAGGCTAATACATGTTCATTTTCATTATCTGAGTCAGATGCCACCAGCGGAAGGTAGATTTTCTTTTTTGGTGGTTTGGGTTCTGTAGTTTTCGCATCAGAGTGTTGCTCTTTTAAGACTTTTGAAAGCATGCTCCACACCTTGTCCTTTTCAGATTTTGGAAGGCACTTCAGATTCTTAAACCTTGGGTCAAGTGCTGTAGCTGTCCTTAGAAATCTCACATTGGTGCCTTCTTTGCATTTTGTCAAATCTGAAGTGAAAGTGTTCTTAAAAACGAACAACATGTGCTGGGTCATCATCTGAGGCTATAACTTGAAATACATGGCAGAATGTGGGTAAAACAGAACAGGAGACATATAGAAGTACCCTCGAGAAGTTCAGTCACAAATGTAATTAATGCTTTTTTTTTAACGAGCATCATCAGCATGGAAGCATGTCCTCTGAAATGGTGGCCGAAGCATGAAGGGGCGTATGAATCTGGCACGTAAATACCTTACAACTGCGGCTACAAAAGTGCCATGCGAACACCTGTTCTCACTTTTCAGGTGACATTGTAAATAAGAAGTAGTCACTAGTATTTTCCATAAAAGTAAACAAACTTGTTTGTCTGAGTGATTGGCTGAAATAGGACTAAGTGGACTTGTAGGCTCTAAAGTTTTACATTGTTTTGTTTTTTGAGCGCAGTTATGTAACAAAAAAACCCCTACATTTGTAAGTTACACTTTCACAATAAAGAGATTGCACCACAGTACTTGTATGAGGTGAATTGAAAAATATTTATCATTTTTACAGTGCAAATATTTGTAATAAAAAATAATAATATAAAGTGAGCACTATACACTTTGTATTCTATGTTGTAATAGAAATCAATTATTTGAAAACGTAGAAAAACATCCAAAAATATTTAATACATTTCAATTGGTATTTTGTTGTTTAACAGTACAATTAATCACTATTAATTTTTTTGAGTTAATCGCATGACTTAACTGTGATTCATCGACAGCCGTAGTATATTTATTCTTTAATAAACTCAAATTAGAGCATTTTCTGTACAGACTCCCAACCTAGACAGCATGATATTGTCCCACCAGAGAATTACTGGTACTGCTTCTATAATTGGATGCTAGAACTGAGGCTAACTTTTTATGTTAAAAGTGTTGTGAAAGGGAATAGTAGACTCATGTAATCACTAATTAACTCTTTAGTCTGCCTGATTTCGTACAGAAAGAGCTGTGTGTTGATTGAATTAATAGTCATGTCTTTATCCCCAGATAGCATGACAACATAATGGCTCAGTTATCTGAGCCATCTCCCTTAAGTTCTATTGCAGGTGCTGTAACTTCTTCCTCACGCTCTCTCACAAAATAATTCCTGATCACATGATAAGGGCTGAGGATAATTGCTGAGGGAAATCTCCCCAATGCTAAGGTTTGAGGAGAGGAATCCAGACAGGGAACACTTTCTCTTTCATAGCATTGGGAAGGAAGGAGTAAGACACTTGGCAATTGTGATGTCATCTTGCAAGATTGTATTTTATTTTGCAAATTTCCTCGAGTTTTATATTAGAACTACCTTAAATAGGTGCATGGAGTAACAGTCAGTTACAGTTCAAGTTAAACCATTAACTCATCCACTCCCCACCCACCAAACTGAATATCTTCATTTCAGATAATTCAAATGCCACTTTCGGTTCATGCTACCTGCCTAGATAAAAGCAAGCAATACTCACTAATTTAAAGTTTAGTTTATATCCCTGTCTATATCCCTAAATCTGTAATGTTCCTGGGGAATTTATCTGCCCAGTTTGCTGCTCTTTGACATTCTGAAAGATTAAGATGGAAAAGCCCTGTAGTTCCCAAATCAGGGATATATGTATGTGTTTGTCCACAAAGCTTTAGAAAGTGCTGATAAATTGTCTGTCTTGACTTGATATTTTCTGTAGTTAGTGAAGGGAGGAAAGGTAGACATTAATAGAATGTTCTTACTACCCTTCTGCCTTGTCTTTTGTGTCAGGATGTTAAAGTATCTATTTAATATGTAAAAACAGATAAGCTATTCTCCCTCCCTTCTCTATGTAATGAAACTTGTGTTTGGGTTATTTTCATTAGTATCTTTATGAGTTAAAATTGTGTGTGTTCTGTACAAATTGTTGAAAACTGTTTCAGATTGGAATTCTATTTCTGTTTGAGAACTCAAAACCATAATACTTTTAAACGTGTGTGTGTGTAATTTTTTACTGTCCTGGTTAAGCCTCATGCAACAGGTAAAACACAAGAGCAAAGGAAACTTGAATGTAATTCTCCCAGAAACGGAAGAGAGGCTTCTGTCATAGTAAACATCTGGTGTCAATTATACAACCCCAGTCCAGTCTACAGACCTTTTTATCTTTTCTCCCTCTGTTATGCAGGCATTCTGTTTCACTGAAAAGCCTTAAACCACTTCCACAGGCATCTCCTATGGAGGGCTGGAATACTGTGTCAGGGAAGAAGATAAAAAAGTTCTCTACAGCATGTGGGCAAAATGTTCAGCCTGGTAGGATTCTTCCTTCTTCTAATTGTAGAAACTTTGTCTCTAGTAATTGTGAGAAAAATCTTATGAAATGGTTTTTGCATCTATGTCACAGAAGCAGACTGCAGAGGGCCAAAGAATCAAAGCAAGCCAATAAAAACCCAGTCAGTGCTACCTCCTCGACAACAGTATGCTGTGGGAACCAGACAGCATCAGTTCTCACAGTCTCAGCAGACATCTACTGAGCACAAAACTCCAGGCAGGAATCCCTCCCAGTCTGTAAGGTAAAATGAGAAATAAGATCTTCATTATCTAGTCCTTGGCCATTTACAGCTCAAAGGCTTTTGTTTCTTGTGCATCCCAGCTGATGATAAATACCAAATGTGACAGATATGGCAATATCCTTGAAAGACCTTATTGCATTAAGTTTATGTATTATTGTGGGCCGGGATTGTATGCAATCTCTTTAGATGGGAGATGTGAAAGATGTGAGACCTGGGAGTTCAACAGACTATATTGAAATTGTGCCAGGCAAGTATGGACTTTTGGGACAATAAGTGTTAAGTGGATTTTCTGGGGAATCCCTAAGGAGGGGTTAATGCAAATTCCCCAACTCTGGTTATGCAAAAATGTAGCCTTTTGAGGTTACTTTCTGAGGAGAGGGTCATTATCTGCTGATTACCTGTTAGAGAAGGCCAAGATCAAAGGCCTGAGCTGCATAAGGAAATGGCTGATCTGCCCATTGTGGGGTCTGTTTCTGGATCTAAAATAGATGGACTTGTAATCAAGGGGAAAATCCAGTTGTGGGTTTTGAAGGACTAAAATCAACCAGATCCCTGTGTTGGAGCTGGGTGTGATGTCTGGTAAGCTTTTTAGCATGTGTGCAGGTTCTTTTATTGTTTTCTCTGTAATGCTCCAGAATAAATTTGCTTAGGAGAAGCAGTGTGGTAACTTAGAACTGCAGGCAATATACTGATCATAGCCCTCATAGAGAAAGCGGAGCACTGGTACTGTCTTTTTTTAAAGGCTGTCTGGCTTGCTGGGTATATCACAGTGTAGGGCAGGGAGCTGTGCAGCCTTAAAATCCCTGGTCAAAGGGAAATGAGATGTGTCTCCACCTTATAGAGGGGATGGCTGGGAGCTGGAAGCCTAAAGTGGCTGCCCTTGGTGGACTATGGGCGGGGGAGGGAATATAGTGTGTCAATTTCAGAACCCATTGCATGAAACTTGTGTTTAATTAAGGCAAAGAATTCGAGAGGATGCTAGTGTTTTGTTGTTTGTTTTTTTGCTGGCACTTTTATTATTATTTTATTAATAGTTTATGGTAGTGCGTAAGGGCCAACCAAGAATGGGGTCCCATTGTGCTAGGTGCACAAATCCCAGCAGTATCCCACAAACACACAGCAGTAGACTGTTCCTGCCCCAAAGAGCTTACAATATAAATAGACAAGACTGACACCAGGTAGGGGAAGATATAACACACAATGTGATGGCAGCAAAAGTCATTTTAGTGCCATGATTTTATTTATTTATTTTATGGCTAAAGGCTGTCTTGAGAGAGCCATTTAAGTTTCCAACATAGCCATTAGGGAAAAGAAGAAATAGAACTTTTTCAAAAGAAAATCCTTAAGTATAAAGTTAATCTCCATCGCAGAGGTCAGGATTTGTATGTGGATAGGAACAGATACGAATACTGGCAGTTACTTTAGAAACAGTAGTAAAATAATTAATGTCAGTTTGGATTAGGCAGTTATGACCATCTAAAGTAGCTTATTAGGATTAGCAATAAAATTGTTAATGGGGCCAGTCAAAATTTAGACTCAAATAGCCATGAATTCTTTGCTCTTGGTGGACTTCTTAATCTACTTTACCTGTGTCACTGTACCTCGGTGGGTCACAGCTGAGGATGTCAGTTCAGGACAAACTGTGGAGAAAAAGGGCACACTCTCACCCTAGCCTGGTGGTTATTCTATCATTAGATTATACCAAGCCAGTTTAAAAAAAGTAAATTTCTGTCTCACCACAATAGTTAACAAGAAGCTAAAGATGCAGCCTCCTTAGGCCTTCCAGCCCTTGTCTCACCCCCTATGCATTGGACTTTGGTTAGTTACTGAAAACCAGTGTAATCAAAGATAGGGCTCTTCTAATCCCAAGAGATCAGCCACATAGCCATGTCAATATATAACCCATATTTTATCCAATAATCATGCTGAGGAAAGTTTTAATAATAAAATAGAGTTAAAAACTGTTAATCATATACATACAAATAACTGCAAAGTCCTCATCAGGTTTGTAGCAGTGATTGAATAGACTGCTGACTTGTAAAGTCTCTCTGGTGATTTCCAAAAGATTGGAAGGTCCTCAGTCCATAGTTCAAAATGTTCCTTTTAGTTGTAAATCCACAGTCCAGAGAATCAGGGCAGGAAAAAGGCAAAATGGAGATATATCAGGGGTCTTCTATATCCTCTGCCATGTGCCTGGAAATGTACTGTCCCAAACAAAGCCCACAGCCCCTGCATATGGAAAGTTACTAGCCCAAGATGGAGTCCAAAGTCAAATGAGCATATGATATGTCCTTAAATGCTTTGACTCACAGGGGTAGCCATTGCCCATGTTCTTGCTGAGGCACCCACAAGAATAGCTATCTGGGCAAAAAGTTTCTTTTATGGTCCATAGTGAGAGCTAAGTGTCCTTGATGGGCCATCAATACATAGCTGTCTGGCCTTAATATAAATTTTACCTGCTGGGTGTTACCCGGGAATACAGCACATGTGTATGCCTGTATGTAGCCAAAATTCTTAACTTCAGATATGAAAATGAAACAGGCATATAAATGGGATAATCATAATTAGAAAATCATAACTTTTCCATTGACACCTAACATGACATATGTTGTACAAGACTTGTAGCTATTGTATAACAGTTGGTAAAATCAATGACCTAAATGGTCATATTCAATCATTCATCATCACAACCTTTATATTTTATGGAGTATTCAAGTTTTTAGCCAAGAACAGGTTTACAGAGCTGTTTACTAGTCACCTTAACTTCCATGTGTTGCACAGTAATAAATGAGTAATATCTATCTCCGTATAAGTGCAGAACTACTACAAGAAAGAACCTAAGCATCCTCTACACACAGCTGTGGTTCTCAACCAAGGGTCTGGGGCAGGTTTCAGGGGGTCTGCCAAGCAGGACCAGTGTTAGACTTGCTGGGGCCCAGGGCAGAATGCTGAAGTCCCACTGCATTCGGCTGAAGCCTGGGACTCTGAGCAACTTAGCTTCACCGTACCCCCAGTGGCATGGGGCCGTGAGCAATTGCTCTGCTTGCTACCCCTTAAAGTCGGCCCTGGCTTTTATATGAAGAAAACCAGTTATGGTGGCACAGGTGGGCCATGGAGTTTTTATAGCATGTTTGGGGGGCCTCCGAAAGAAAAAGGTTGAGCACCCCCTGCTCTACGGTGTCTCTGAAATTGTAGGGGTTCTCAAACAAACATTCTGCATTCTCCTGTGGATTTGCCATTGTCTTGAGGCACCAACAAATCACATGTTCTTGGCCGTTGTTTGCTATATTGTTGCAGTGACTATGCAAAATTTGGAAGACTTAGTCAAGAAAGTAAAGTTGTGAGGGTTTTGTGTTTTAAGAGTACTTAGTCTTTTACTAGCTGGCATTTCAGGGAGAGAGGGAATATATTTTGTTTATATTGCTTCATCAGAAGTTCAGAATAACGCAAAATAACTTTAATAGCATTAAGAAGAAAAACATGTTTGTTTTGTGTATTCTTTTATTGAAATGCATTTATTAGCACTTGAATGTATATATTTGCCCTCTGCTAGGATGTATAATACCATGTGAAATAACTAAACAAAGGGAGAACACTCTATAAATTATAGGAGAAAATGCTCATGATCCAAACTTCTGTTTTAGTTTCTTCCCAGGTGGAAATAAAATGGAATATGTTGTAGATGGAACACGCTTTTTTCTCTTAATCCTGATATTTGCAGTTACTATTTTACTATAGGCATAATGGGACCTGAATAGCTAGTACATTATGCTGTATTCTTTCAGCTTTCCCCAGTTGTAATTCTGGGGTAGTTGAACTCTCACACTTGGTATCCATTTTACTATTTCTTTGGCAGTTTTTTGGTCATCTTCCCCTACAGAAAACCAGACCGGGAGAGAGCTGAAGATCTAGACTACACTAGCAGAGATTGTAACTACTTTGGCCTGTCTCCAGAGGAACGCAGAACGAAGCAGGCCATAGAAGAATCTCGCTCACTTTATGAGATTCAGCAAAGGGATGAACACGCTTTTCCTGCTCTTTCTGTATGTATGCTTCAGTAATTGTAGGTAATAAGGTATTTTTTTACAACCTGCCAGTGAATTATTAATTTGAAATTTAGTTCTCCGCACTTGTGAACTTTTCTTATTACTTTTGAGAAGTTAAATGTCTTGTCTTGCATCTCTTCTGTATAAAGTTAAATAAATACAAAAAATAGAACTGTAGATCATAGATCAAGACACTTAGCAGTTTTCCTTAGAGAATTACAGATATAAGCATTGAGATGTAATGACTAGAGTGGTCACTGAGGCCAAAGAGCTCCTTGCTCCATCCATGTAGAAATGGACCATGTTCCAGCAGATCCTTTAGGCTCAGCTAGGTTTCATGCAGGGAATTTGTACATCCCCGGGACAATTACCCAAATGCTGCTTTTCCTTTGTGCAGAACTACTCTAGTTCTGTTGCTGTGGGCCCTCTATACAGACAGAGTTGGGAGCAGGATTTGTTCTGAAGTACAGTTCTACTCTGTCTCAATTTGTCCAGGTGAAATCTGTTTACTTAGAAGTAAAACAATGGCTTTTCTAACTGCCAGTTCTGCAAACTCAGTCTGGGATCTGAAAATCAAGCAGTGCTCTAACTTGTTCATGTATCGTCCTCAGTAATGAACATTCCTTAGGTTGAATTCTGTTCTTTCTTACGTGGAACTCAATTATCTTCAGAGGAGTTGAATAGGTTTAACTGAGTGTGGATTTTAGTCCTTCATTTGAAAGTTGGTTGTCCCTTCTGTTGATGCATGAGTCAGGATGGAATTCAGCTTCATCTCCAGTAGCTTGTTGCCTCTGCTGAACTAACAGGAGTATAAAAAACATACTTTGCTTTGTAAAGTAAGCAGATATAACTCTTAATACACACAGGGAACAGATCTGCTGGATAAGAAGCTGTTGTCTTCACATAATCACGCTTTAGAATTTTTAGTTTGGATTTTTTTTTTTTAATTTGTATTTCAGTCCGGCAGAAAACAGAAGTAGAGGAGACAGGCTGAAATACTAATAGGTGTTAGATTGTGAGGGGAATGGGATTTGAGAGAGACCTTGAGTGTCTTGCTCTTTGAGGATGACAATTTCCAGGCAGAGGGCCTGATTCTGCTTATCTTAAACTTTTCAATGGTGTTACTCCTGACTTCCATTGTTGTTCCTAAGAAGTGAATCAGGTCCAGAAGAGCTTTCTGGAACCTCCTAGTAAGTAAAGAGCAGTACTAGACTGGAGGAGACCACCATCTCGTTGTTGCAGTGTGGGAAATGCTGTGATGCGCCTGCTCAAATATGGAAGAATATTGGGATTTTAAAATGGAAGAATTTATAGATTTTTTTTTTAGAAGTGGAATAGAACCCCCTTAGGACTGTCACCTGATGTGCTGAGGCTACCTCTAAGCCTGTTTTACGTGGCAGCTTGGGACTTCAGTACCCTGCCTGGTTGTGCCAGACACTCTAGCCTGCTACAAACACAGACCCAGGTCTGAACCACGTCCCCCGAAAGCTGCAGGCTTAACTGAAAATAGCTTAAGAAGTGCTCCTGTCTCCGACACCCAGTTCCCAATGGGATCCAAACCCCAAATAAATCTATTTTACTCTGTATAAAGCTTATACAGGGTAAACTCATACATTGTTCGCTCTCTAACACTGATAGAGAGAGATGCACAGCTGTTTGCTCCCCCAGGAATTAATTACTTGCTCTGGGTTAATTAATAACTAAAAAGTGATTTTTAGTAAATAACAGAACAAAATAAATTACTAAGCAAATTTAAACAAAAACCTGCAAGTCTAAGCCTAATACAGTAGGAAACTAAATGCAGGTAAATCTCACCCTTAGAGATGTTCCAAGTAAGCTTCTTTGACAGACTAGACTCTTTCCTAGTCTGGGTCCAGCAATCATACCACTGTAGTTACTGTCTTTTGTTCCAGTTTGTTTCAGGCATTTCTCTGGGGTGGACAGGCTGTCTCTTGAGCCAGCTGAAGACAAAATGAAGGGGTTTCCAGGGGCTTATATAGTGGGAAAATCTTCTCTTGTGGGAAAATCCCCCTCCACAAGATGGAGTTTTGCTGTCACCTGGGCAAGTCACATGTCTATGAATGATTCAGCTTTTTGCAGGCCGATGCCATTGTTTTACATGTTCGTTTGAACATTCCCAGGAAAGCTTAGATGTGGATTGGCGTCTTCCAAGGTCCGTTGTTAGCTAAGCACTCCCAATTACTTGAATAAGCCCCTTCACGCTATGTTGACCAGATCTGCCTTTTGTGCTTCCTACAGCAAACACTTTAAGTACAAGCATAGAGCCAATGCTCATAACTTCAGATATAAAAATGATACATGCATACGAATAGGATGAATACATTAGTTACAGGCATATTTAGCATAAAACATATTCCAGTTATGTCATATTTGCACTCATAAGCATATTTCTGTAAAGCATTATGGGGTGCAAAGTCACAAGCTTAATAACCTGAGCTCTTGACTCCGAGGTGAGCCACACTCTCTCGGAATGCAACAGTGAATTGGGTGGGTAGAAAATTTGAGATTAGAAGGCTGCTTCTTTTCTCTGCCTCCTGCTGAAAATAAACTTGCATTCATGGAGGCCAAGTGAGGTAATTTTAGATGATGGCACATTGTTTTATACGTTCCTGTGGCCAAGCCTTTTTATATGAAATGCTGAATTTTGCTTCTCTCAATTTCTTTAGAACCATTTAGTTTGTCAGGCTGCTATGCAGACCGCTGATACTTGCGTAAAGATCCGAGCTGTTACTGAGAAAAGAAACAGCAGGTGGAAGGCAAATGTGGAAGAGCGAAAGGATAAAGGTAGTGTCCAGAAAACATTTTCTTTTACTAAACATTGTTAGCTTTTATATAAAGTAACCAAGTCTGGGATTTTCAAAGCTGGGGATGTGCCTATATGTGGATTTATGCATCTGACTGGGTACATGAGGGTAATTTTTGTGACAATAGTCAAGTGCAATGTAGTTGTATGCTTTGGGGAGAAGGTGCTTGTTTTTCTTGATTTATGGGTATGGTCTTTGGGTCAAACACCTTTCATAGGAATTTTCAAATTATGTGGGATGGCACATAACAGGAGCTAAATGCTGAAAAGCTAGGTCTTCTGACCCACATCAAAGTAATTAAGTGCCGGTTTATATTGAAATTAGCGCCAGATTAGAGTTGCAGAAACTGCTGATGGAGAAATGCCAGAGATACTTGCTCAGGTGGAAAGAGGGTTCATCTAAGAAAAAGCAAGTAAAAGGGGTTAGTGCCTAAAGTCTTATCTTATAAAATTGTAAGGGTAGGGGAAGGAATTGAAAGAAGAATGTGTGAGTGAGAGCTTGAATTGCAAACATATTTTTAAATTTAAATAGTGCTGGAGAAGGGTGAGAGGTGTGAGATTTCCTTCTCCCATATTCCTCAATTCTTTGTGTATTTGTCTTTGTGTATTTGTCTTGGAGGAAAGATAGGGTAACTAAGCTCTCCTACTTCTGGTGGGGTTCATTTTGTGGTGGCGATGGGGAAGAAGGTTGCAGTTGTATAGTGGGAGAGCAGACAATTGTTGTGTCAACACAAAATGCAGCTGCTAATCTGTTTTCTGGCCTTTGTCTTGTTCTATATGAACTCTGTGAATCTGTTCCCTGCTTCCCCTTTCTTTACTGCATCATGTTGAAGCTCCTTGATCTTGATTTCAAGGATCTATCCTTCCCCATGTACCTATTTTTGCCTCTTTTCACCTGTCCCCTTTTCTCCTCTGCTCTGATAAAGACAAAAAGGCATTGAAGCTCCTACATCTGATTCACATTTTTTTGAAAGTCCCTGCATCAGGCAGAGCAGGGACCTGAACTTAGGTCTTCCACATCCAAGGTGAGTGACCTAACCACTGGGCTATTGGCTTTTCTAAGCTGCGTTGGTCTCTCTCTTTTTTTTGTGAAAATTTTCATAAGGTCTTGGTTTTCATCCCAATGCAGAATGAAAACAAATTCTGAAACCTTGAAAATTTTTGTGAAACAGAAATTTTGTTTTCCAGCCAGCCCTACTTATTTCGGCTTATTCTGCTTTCCACGTTTATGCTATTTTGAAGTAACATATAATTGACCTGAGGTAGAAAGGTCATGATGTATCTGAAGATTTAACTTTGGAAAGACAAGTTGTTATACTGGCTGAAGTAGTCTCTAAGGTGCCACAAGTCCTCCTTTTCTTTTTTTGGCTGAAGTTGTGACTATTATAAATGATTTGATGCTTCATTTACGATGTTATATCTTTTGGTATTACAGATTCAAATTCCAGGCAGGTCCACTTCAGTCAGAAGTTTGAGTCAAATTCATCTGAGGTAATTTAAAGAAAAGACCAAAGCAATTCTTTCTCTCTCTCCCTCCCATAATGTGCATTAAGCAGCACAGCATAAGGTGGCTAGCAGAGAGGTAGCTGTCTTCAGCGCCAAGGCTGCTGCTGCTGCTTTAGTACTTTCTGTAGATTATTGTAGGAGGGAGACTTGTCTTATTTTTGAACTTCCTCAGAACCTTTAAGAGTCTGATTGTGGTCTCTCTCTGCAATGTAAATTCTACAACTTGGGCTATTAAGAGCACTTCTGAACCTGGATCTCTCTTTGCTAGTGTACCCCATATGTTCGCAGTGTGAGTCTCTGTTCCCCTCTAGTGGTTGGACCTCACAGATTTGAGTCTGGCATGGTTTAGGATCTAGAGGTTCTCACTGTGATTCCCTGCGGCCAACAGATCATCAAGAGGCATCACATTAGGCTTGCCATAGTAGCAATTTGATAAACACTCATCTGATGGCCAGCCCACCTTTTTAACAAAGTGTTGTGTGCTTAATATCTTTTATTGACCTTTTTTGTAGAAGAAAAATAGAGTAGCATTGACTCTCCATTTTAACTTTTGTAATAGAAGAATGGTGGAGATGACAAGTATCCAAAAGCTTCATCTCCTTTGAAACAAGGAAAGACACAATCTCAATCTCCTGCTGAACAAGTAAGAAATATTTGTTTAACTTCTGTTTTTTTCAGCCATGAGGCCTCCAGGCATTCTTGCCATCACAGCCATATAGCTATTGAAGACAATTACTTGGTATTGTGGTAGTGCCCAAAGCCCCCAGTTAGGATTGGAAACCCATTATGCTAGGTGCTATATGAAGACCTGGTCCCTATCCAAAAGATCTTGCAATTTAATTGTAAGGGTCATTCCAGGAGTTTGTGAGTAAGGGGTTAATCCACATCCACCTTTTAAGTGAATGCTACTTGGGTTAAACACTTTCTCTTTTTTCCCCCTTCAGCTATTTCACCTTCTGTGACTTTCCCAGAGACCAATATCATTCCCTCTACAACATTCCCAGCTCCTGCTGGTCTAGGAAATTGTTCAAACAACTTTGGTTATGTTTTGATAGCATCAACAGGCATTGTGGTTGTTACCATCCTCTGATCTGTGGTACTGTAGCACAGTATCATACATGATGAGTATCTGAGCAGGCCCACTGCTTCATTTAATCAGTGGCTTTTCTTTTTGGAGGTGAAAAACAGTAAATAAATTTATTATTGTGAGAGTTGCTGAATTTACTGCCTGGAGATGGGAGCTTGATATTCATTCATGGTATCAACCTTTTCTGGAGGGGTGACCCCTAGGATGAGAGGGTAGTTCAGTCTCCATGCAGTCAATGAACAAGACTAAAGGTGGCTACGCAGTTAGGATTCCTATTTTGTCAGTAGCTTGTTAGCTAATGTTACTAGATGGTGTTTTGCTACTGTGACAGTGGGAGCCTGGTTAAGTCTAGATTGTCAAACCTTTGTGAATGGAATAGAATTTAGGCTCTTATTCTAAGCAAGCATTATCTGTGAGCCCTACTAACTTCTCTTGGTCTCTTTGCTTTATAGAAACTGACAGCATGCTTACCATGTGTAAATCCAACTCCCGCTCCTGCCTTCTCTGAGGTGCATTTGCCTCCTACAGTGCCTTCTATTCCAGCCATTGTGCCAGCTTGGCAAAATGAGCCAACTTATCGACCAACAGGTTAGAAGAAATCTTCTTTGGTCTACTTCAGAGACTTATTGTACCATGTTCAGAATGGTCTGTGTGTAAAAAATGACTTCAAATTGTCTGAGTGGGATTTTGAAAAACAGACATTGAAAGATAATTAGAATACTCAGCTCTCCTAGCTGCTTTTGAAAATCCCAGTTAGCTTCAGTTGTCCATATAAATGTCATTGCTAATTAAAATAGTTTACATGACTCTTTGCCTCTTAAGGGAAGAGGGGTTGTGGGAAGTATTACTATTCCATTCCAGCCTGGGTCACTTAGAGATTCAGCTGTAAGATTCAATTCCCTTTTGTCTTTAAGGGTATTTTTAAATAATGCAAGTGATAAGATTTTTGTTACCACTTTTGGATAGACTGTTGTACAGTCCCTTTCTGAAAACTGTTTTTTGAATTGAGCCTTCATTTTCCTTCAGCTTCATTTCAGGACTCATGCCCCTCCTTTATCATCCTAAATAATTAATCTTCCTGATGTTTTAATCCTTCAGTTACTTGCTATCTTATCTCTCATTAATGTACCTTAGCCAAATTCTGTGTACTCATGTCTTTCGCTCTTCCCTCTTTTTCTTAGGTATTCCAACCCAAATACCTGTTTCTTCATTGATGCCGGCCCCAACAACTGGACCTGATTCTGTTGTATCCCAGGCAACATCTGCTCCAGTTGCCGGAGTTCCTGTGTCAATACAAGCAGTTAACCAGCCTTTGATGCCTTTGCCTCAGACACTGAATCCTTATCAGGACCCATTGTTCCCTGGATTCCCTTTTAATGAAAAGGGGGAGAGAGCCATTGCACCACCTTATTCCCTGTGTAATACTGGGGATGATCTACCTAAAGGTAGGAAACCTTTATATTTTACACTCTTTCCAATGGAATGTCTTTGTTTAAAATCTGGATGAAGGAGAATGAAATGTATTCCTTTGTTTTGATAAGTGTTGAAAGATTTAACAGTTGCTGTGCTACCGTTCTTTGTATAAAAATAAGTAAATTGTACTGTTAATGGTAATTTTAAGTGGTGATATTCATAACTCTATTGTGAACTTTTCATGGCTCATAATCTGATTCATGAATTTATTTTCTTATATCAGAAAAAGTCTGATTTTTGTGTAGCTTACATTTAAAAAAAAAAAAAAAGATTTCCTTGACCATATTGTAGATATCTGTTGCCTGTTATGGCAGTGAAAAATAGCAGATGGAATCTCATGTTGTTTTAATCAGAAATTTGAACCTTACTCAGCAGTTTTCTTACTAGTGTGGGAAAAGGCATATATTAGCATTTTAAAAAGAAAAATACAAGGAGTTCATGTAGAACATACCACACCTGACTGGATGGTGTGTTCATTTTGGTAGCATTCTCTCTTACATTTGTAAACTGAGTTTGGTTCCTTGAGCTATTAAAACTGGAATTTAAAACATGCAGTTGAGTTTCAGATCATCTTATTAGTCCAAGGGGAGTCGAACCAGCAGGCTGAAGTAGCAATATAAAGTGTTGAACTTTTCTCTACTAGAACTGTAGCTGAAAATTTGCGCTGGGTGGGAGGAAAAAGTGCGTGCATGCATGCATTTTTCTTAGTGTTAATTAACTTGATGTTTGTTTGTTTTTCTCTAGATAAAAGTATTCTTCGATTTTTCTTTAATCTTGGTGTGAAGGTAATTATCCAAACTCTCATCAATGAGATTTTTCTACTAAAATATCTAATGACTAATGTTCAGGTTTCCGCCTCCATGAGTTGTTTTTGAATTCCAGTATCTCAGAAATGGCTAGCTGAAATCACTTCAAATTTGAGCAAGGTGTTCTCTGCTGGCAGCAGGCTACACGTGCAAAATTTGGAAGTGAAAGGCTTGTTCACTGAGGTTTTTAGTGGTGACTCCAAAATTAGGCATATAATTTAAAGCAAGCCTCAAGTAAGAATAGGCTACCCTCTCTACCATATTTTGAAAACTTTTCTCTTATCTCAAATTTTATATCAAATAGTTTGCTTGAAAGATTTTGTTGAGATCTCATGCACAGCATCACTTTTGAGATTGGAGAAGTCATATTTAGGCAATTAATTCCTGGTCAATTAAATGTGTCAGAATAATCCATTTGGTGCTGAACATGTAAATGGAACCAAAAGACTGAAGACATGAGCTTTCTTTCTCTCTCTTTTCAAAGTCTATCTTTTAGCTAGAGTTAAAGTTGCAAGTATGTGCCAGTAACTTACAAGTAAAAACACCTTATATAAGAACGTTGTTGACTCTTCCTATTGCAGTGGCATGAATCTGATTTGGGGTCCCATTTATCGAAAAGCAATCGTTAGAAACGGAATTTAAACTTTAATTTTAAATTAAAAGAATTTAAAACATTTTGAAAACTTAGGTATGCATAGGTAAGACACCCAAACAAAATTCAGTTCCTGAATTGAGGAACAATCAAAAATTCTGAACTGATCCATCAAAAAACAGATTCATCTTGTTGGTGTCCACAAACACTAGAAAGCTTTGATTTGAACACTGCATTGGTTGAACTTGCTCTAGTTTTTATTGTGGCCATAAACAGTCCACAGAAGACATTCTTTACAAATTCACAGTTACATCAGTATCCTACTGAAGGCAGACATCCCCCATTTTTCATTAAGATTGCATATGCTACCAGTTACATCAGTGTCATTACATGTTAGTGTATTAATATATGCAAACATCATAGGCCCAGATCAGGAAATCAGAATACTTGCAGAAAAGAGCAAAAGTGAGGGTGGTGGTGAAGCATGACATACCAGATATGTATATATACAAAATTAGTGCTCTGTGCTGCGGTACATTCAATAGCTCATCTGCAAGCATTTTAAGTGTAGTGCATCTACAAATTTAAGATGTCTCTAGTTGTCTGCAAAGTACTTTAAGCTATTATGAAAAAGGATGACTAAGGGGAAATGGGAGGATGTTTGACTGTACTGTCACTGTACCAGTACAGTGGCCTTTTCCCAACATCAGACATCTGCAGCGCATGGCTGTGGATTTCCAGAATCCTTTAGAAAAATTCATGGTTCAAAAATAACAAAACTTATGTTTGAAAGAAACAAAGAAGGGAAGATAGGAGACTGGTGTTGCTATGGGGATAGAGTTAACAATGCTGTGTGACCATAACGGATTCTTTCCATACTCTACAATATTTTGGCTTTCTTTCCTATATTACCTTAACAGGTAATTTCTTGGGTTTCTGACTGTGGTTGTTTAACTGGAGCATTCTTATAAGGGCTAGTCTAAATGCTGAAATTTATCAGCGTAATTGTATACCAGTATAACTACCCATTCATTCATTCATTCATTGTTCTGGAATAATAATGCCTTTTTCTGTTTTAGCCTTTCACTTTGGAAGTGGTATAAATTAAACCAGAAAAAGGCAATGTTATTCCAGATGGGAATTTATACAGCTATAATATATATATGTGTGTGTGTGTGTATACAGTAAATCATCCCCATGCCTGCCTGTTCTACCCATCTTAAGTTAATGACATAGTCTCTCAATTTTAAATCCATCTTAAATAAAGATTTTTGTTTATCTAGAGAAGCATCACGTATACCATTGTAGTAAATGCTCTAGCAACATTTCCATTCTGCACTTACAATTTTAAGGGAGGTAATTTTTTCAAGCTTTATTGTAAAAACTACCTCTGGTCTCAGACTTGGTACACCTGACTTCATCTGTGGAGTAAAATCGTTTGTGGTGTTTTTTTAATGACCAAATCTGGAAAAAAGATCTCTTCGGCTATCATAATTTAAAGAATGAAAAGAGAGAGAAGTTAGTGGTTTTGATAACTTTGTATAACTAGTCAAAGTCTCTGGTTTGGTTCACAGAAAATTAGCTGGCCATTAGTCAATGTTGTTGCTATGTGTGTTAAAAAAATTTCATAGACCTAAGCTTGAAACTCACTTTGTGGATCATATGATTTCCATTGCTGGCAGTGTGCATTATTTAGGATGTAGTCTGTTATCTTTTGCGTAAGAACTGTCTACTGGCTGAAGTACACTGACCAAAGAGTAGAATTGCTGACAACCTTGGAGGGCAGTTATGTCTTTTTCTCTCTTATAGAGAATCTCCTGGTCTGGAAACTGTCTGTTGGGTTACCATGCCCACTAATGCCACAGAAATAGCCACTGGTAAAATTCTCGGTGTCCTACAGGCTCTTTCCATATAGGCCTGGGAAATGTCAGCACCTTTAGTGGACATGATAATCCAGCAGCTCCCAGACCAAAGGAGAAGACGTACTTGCAGTAAGTGCAAACTGTCTATCTTCTGTTAGTGCATATTATTAGGTGGTGACAGAAATCCAGTTAATGGGCTGCAGAATGTGACCTTACTCAAATATGGCTTTTGAATTTTGTGGCAATGAGCCTCACTTCAGATGTCCGCAGATCTGTATGTGCATGTTTCAAGATGAGGTAACACTATTTTTTCCTCAGGATTTTGACAGAATGGATATGTGGGTTAAGTGTCCATTTAACACCTATGATTCAAGAAAGTATCTAGAAAACCTGAACACACTTAAAAAGCATAGCTACAACTTAACTTGCTCTGTTATACTTTCTGTTGGTCTGTGTTTAAGCATTTTGACAGTGTTCTTTCTGTATAGTCAAACTGTTTCCCCTTTCACACAGCAATAGGAACTTAAAAAAAAAAGATTGTAAAACCGTAAAAATAGGTCAAGGGACTTGCAGGCAGATAGATAGATTTTTATATATATATATATAAAAATAAAAACTACTTTTATCTCTTTTTAAAATAAATTGACTGGGTTTCAAGTTGACAAATGACTTTACAGTGTGATATTTTACATCTGTTTGTTTTTAATTCCTTAGTAGACTGAAACATCTTTGTTTTGCAGGCATACAGCTGTCCCATGTGGGCACCACATTCTTATTTGTACCCTCTGCATCAGGCTTATGTAGCTTCTTGTAGAATGTACCCAAAAATTTCAGTTCCTGTGTATCCTCACAACCCTTGGTTCCAAGAGGCGCCACCAACTCAGAATGAAGATGAAATGGCACAAACAAACAGACACTTTCCTATGCAGAATGAGGCCAGATCCGATGATCAGAGTCTGCAAGTTGACACTAGGTCTCCATCATTGCCTCTGATTATATCTACAGCTCAGGTGTCAGAAAGTCAAAGACAGGTCTGTGTAGAATCCGAGAACCCAGTGCAAGCTCTTCAGTCAGATCAAGATGAGTCGGTGAGAGGAAAAAACATGTTCCTGCACCCTCCATTTGGACACAATCAATTTTTAGGAGCTGTTCCAATAGCACCTCCTTTTTTCCCTCACTTTTGGTATGGGTGCCCATTTCAGGGTTTTATGGAAAATTCAGTAGTGAGACCTAATGTTATGTCACCTGAGGACAAAGGGGCAGCTGTTAGCCCCTTAGCAAATATATATCTGGCTGAAGAATGCAATTCTCCAGTTCCAGTAACAAGTTGTGTGGAGCATCTTCGGAAGGTAGTGAGTGAAAGTAGCTCCAGTGCCATACCTCTCCCTGTGGCCAGTTTGAGCAGCGAATCTGATGTCCTGGATGAAACCTCAGCCAGGATGCCGAAGATGGAGCAAATATGTACTGCTGTTTCTCCTGCTAAACAAGTGAAGGCTGCACTACAGAATCGTTCTACACAGATGCAGGGGATTGAGAGGCAGACAGTGGTGTCACATGCTTCACCATCAGTAACAGAGCCACCAAAAAATGAAATGAAAAGTAATACTCCCAGTCATAAGGAAAAGCCAGAGAAAGCCAGAGATGCCAAGGCTACTGATAATTTACAGGCCAACTTGGTAGAAAGCAGGACACACAGAACAAGGGAAGAGAGCTCTGAAGATGAAAATGAGGTGTCTGATATGCTGAGAAGTGGTAGATCCAAGCAATTTTATAATCAGACTTATGGCAGTGGCAGAAGGCCAAGAAATGAATGGGGCTACCCTTCTAGTCGGGGAGGATACCAGTACCCAAGAAATGAAGAAGCCTGGAAAGGACCACCGAACAGAAGCAGAGATGAAGGTTACCAATATCACCGAAATTTTAGAGGGAGGCCATATAGAAATGATAGAAGAAGGGCAATCATGGGAGATAATCAGAGGGGGCATCTAGCATAGGCATGTCTTATTGGAAAGTTTCAAATGCCAATACAGATTTCAAGGAGAGACTTCTAAAATCTTCCCAGTTTTTTTTGTTTTGTTTTAAGATAGGGTACACTTGTAACCTCAAAGTAAGGCCTAGGGGGAAACGAACTCCTAGTCCTAGCATTAAGTTTCTTGGCAATTAAATATTAAGTTTTTTGGTTGAGGAATTTTTTCCAATTTCTGGAAGTAGAAAATTAAAATTATTTTAAAGTATAAAAACAATACAGTTCAATATTGAACTTTTTTCCATAGAGGTTTGAGTTTGTGATACAATAAAATGTTTACTGGAATGATACAAATATAGTATTTGACATGATTTAGGTTCTAAAACTGATGGTAGTGTTGCACCAAATATAAATGTATATTTTATCATACAATGCCTTAGTTCTAAACTGAGCTAAAGGAATTTTCAGCCTACTGCACTGTTGTCTTTGATATGCTTCCAACCCAAAGGCCTTTCATCTCAAAATCTGTCAAACTTGAATGTTTCTCTTTAGTATGTTACATCTATGGCAGTCAGCTAATTGTGTCTTAGATATGTTGTATATAGTTCTTTTAATATTCATAGGGTATATTTTTGAATTTTAAAAAGCATTTGTTGAAATCAAAATTGAGACAAGCAGTCAAGAATAGCTGTGTGTGCATTGATAGAAAATTCAGTGGAATGGCTGTTTCCACCAAGAATTCTTAACACTGGTGTGACTATAATGGTGCCTATGCCAATTAAATATTTACAAAGACAATAAAAAATGTAGATGCTATGCATTTCCAAAATATTCTGCATCTGTTATAATAGCAGAAGTTTTTTAATGCCACTTTAACACTAATGCACTGACAAATCCTAAATATTTTGTGAGCAGAAATGCATAAAATACAAGTTACATTTTTTTTTTAAGTTTGTATGATGAGCTACTGTTGAGCTTTTTTTGTTGTTGCACTGTTGATGCAAATTGGTTACGCTTTTGCATGTACAATTCATTGCTGGAACTCCTTTTTAAAAACAAGATGTGGTTTTCAAAATATATTCTCTAGAATTCAGAAGAAAGCGGCTTCTGCCTTATATTTTTACACTGTGTGTCAGAGTTCTGATTGCTGTTTCTTCTGACTCTTAAAGATGATCTCTGCAGTGTTCCTGATTATTGCCTTTGCAGTTGGGATATTCAGCTATCCAAACTCGAGAGTGCAGTGTGCACACTATTCACTCAGCTCTGTTGCTTTGTAAAATTAACGGTTGTGTATATTTTTATATCTCTGTATATACCAGTGTAAAAGGTGATGGTGCCCTTTTATTCATGTCTATGAGATTGTATACCTTTGATCAGGAAACTTGAGTGATACTGTTATATATATGACTAAGCAATTCTTTTCAGATGCATGCCATGTATAAAACACCTAATTAAAAATAAATGTTTGTCCTTTCACTTTCTTTTTAAACTATATAAAACCACTCATAATATCGTCAATCTTCTGGTTCTGTTGATATCTACAAATGGCATATCAGTAGAACTTGGTGAATTGCTACTATATTTGTGGCTACTGACCTGAACTCTCAATCCGCACTGTATAGCAATTAACATTTAGGCACTTAGCAAAATATATATTAGAGTGCATTTTATAAATGGAAATTGTAAAGGCAGTACTGTTTTTACCTGAGAGAGAAAAATATTTAAATCAATTTGAGTGGAAATATATTTAGAAATAAATTAGGTTTAGTTTGCAAGGTTGCTATTAAAAACGAACACTGGAGGGATGTACTAACTAAGCTCTTGCTTCCCTATTCATATTCAGTGATTACAGAAAATAATGGGGTGATGGTTAGCTAATAAAGTTAAGAAAGCTTCTCTTCACAAAGTGTACCTTCCCCCCTGCTCTTTACAATGCTGCTCTTTGAACTCAATCTAATGCTCACTGAATTCTATAGGCATTGGAACAGATGCATAGTCATATATGCCTTTGTATGTATTATGAGGTTTGAGTAACATTTTGATTTCCACAGATTGAGAGAAATTTAAAAGTGCACTTTCTAGAGAGAAAAGGAGTGGCACCTTAGAGACTTGTGGCACCTTAGAGACTAACAAATTTATTTGAGCATAAGCTTCCGTGAGCTACAGCTCACTTCATCAGATGCATTCAGTGGAAAATACAGTGGGGAGATTTTTATACATAAGAGAACATGAAACAGGTATACACACTGTAACGAGAGTGATCACTTAAGGTGAGCTATTACCAGCAGGAGAGTGGCGGGGAGGGGGGGGAGTCCCCCCACTCAGCTGGGGTGTCAGCTCCCCCCTTGCTCAGTGCTGCCCTTGCTGTCCCAGTGGGGGCAGTCAGCGAGCTTGCTGCTTTCCTCACTGCATCAGAGCCAGCGTGAGCCCCCTCTCCGGTGTGCAAGGGGGCAGGGAGCATCTTTCTGTCCCATTCGGCCCCAGGGGTCTGGTTACAGGCAGGCAGGTAGCCTAAGCCATCCATCCCACCATCAACCTCAGCCTGGACCAGACCACACAAGAGATCCACTTCCTGGACACTACGGTGCTAATAAGCAATGGTCACATAAACACCACCCTATACCGGAAACCTACTGACCGCTATTCCTACCTACATGCCTCCAGCTTTCATCCAGACCACACCACATGATCCATTGTCTACAGCCAAGCTCTACGATACAACCGCATTTGCTCCAACCACTCAGACACAGACAAACACCTACAAGATCTCTATGAAGCATTCTTACAACTACAATACCCACCTGCTGAAGTGAAGAAACAGATTGACAGAGCCAGAAGAGTACCCAGAAGTCACCTACTACAGGACAGGCCTACCAAAGAAAATAACAGAATGCCAGTAGCCATCACCTTCAGCCCCCAACTAAAACCTCTCCAACGCATCATCAAGGATCTACAACCTATCCTGAAGGACAACCCATCACTCTCACAGATCTTGGGAGACAGGCCAGTCCTTGCTTACAGACAGCCCCCCAACCTGAAGCAAATACCAGCAACCACACAACAGAACCACTAACCCAGGAACCTATCCTTGCAACAAAGCTCGTTGCCAACTGTGTCCACATATCTGTTCAGGGGACACCATCACAGGGCCTAATCACATCAGCCACACTGTCAGAGGCTCATTCACCTGCACATCTATCAATGTGATATATGCCATCATGTGCCAGCAGTGCCCCTCTGCTATGTACATTGGTCAAACTGGACAGTACGTAAAAGAATAAATGGACGCAAATCAGACGTCAAGAATTATAACATTTAAAAACCAGTTGGAGAACACTTCAGTCTCTCTGGTCACTTGATTACAGACCTAAAAGTGGTAATTCTTCAACAAAAAAACTTCAGAAACAAACTCCAACAAGAGACTGCTGAATTGGAATTAATTTGCAAACTGGATACAATTAACTTAGGCTTGAATAGAGACTGGGAGCGGATGGGTCATTACACAAAGTAAAACTATTTCCCCATGTTTATTCCCCCCTTCCACTGTTCCTCAGACTTTCTTGTCAACTGCTGGAAATGGCCCACCTTGATTATCACTACAAAAGGTTCCCCCCTCCGCTGCTCTCCTGCTGGTAATAGCTCACCTTAAGTGATCACTCTCGTTACAGTGTGTATGTTAACACCCACTGTTTCATGTTCTCTTATGTATATAAATCTCCCCACTGTATTTTCCACTGAATGCATCCGATGAAGTGAGCTGTATGTAGCTCACCGAAGCTTATGCTCAAATAAATTTTGTTAATCTCTAAGGTGCCACAAGTACTCCTTTTTCTTTTTGCGAATACAGACTAACAGGGCTGCTACTCTGAAACCTTTCTAGAGAGATTTTCTCAAGGGCTGATGTTAAACAGTGTGATAGCATTGGTAGGAGTGGACTTTTCCTTTGAAAAGTGACTTGCAGGACACAAACATTAAGCTTGTGCCTTGTCTTTCTGCTTTACCATGTATAAAAGAGGCTGAAAAGTTTGGTGTTAAGATTTTTTTGTTTCTGTTTCAGCTTTAGAAATAATGAATGTCAAGCCTGGCCGTGTTTGGTTTTCCTGGTAGACTTGTTGGGGGAAGGGAGGTCTCAGCTTTTTTGGTCAGCTCTAAGGCTGTGATTCAGCAACGTGTTCTTAAGCATGTGAATTCTGTTGAAATCTAGAGGACTGCACGTAAAGTGATGCCCAGGCTTAAGTACCTTGCTGAATGGCGGCCTAGAGTTCTGCACCCCAGCCAGAACCTGAGGGGACCCAAATGCGGTTCCGGTTAGGTTGGAAAATCATCCAGCCTGCTCAGGTGGTTTGCCTCTTAAGAACAACTCCTATCCCTCGGCTCAGCACGGTGGCAGCTGTGTCTCCTGCCCTTGCCTGCCCACCTTGCTGCACTCTGTGTGCTGAGGAGTCCCAGCACCTCTCACTTTGCAGCTCACGCAGTATGCAGCGGGGCAGACCGCTGTTGGTGCGCCATTCCCAAGGGCAGGAGGCAACAATACCACTGATTCAGTTCTGGGAGAAGGGTCGGATCAGGTTGAGTGGACTTGGGTCTGATTTGGGTCCAGGTCTGGCTTAAAAAGTAGTCCTGAGCAGACCCCAATGGAGGTCTACTACCTACAAGCGGCAAAGAGCTGAGTCTTTAATATCTCATCTAAATTATTAATCATTGAAATAAATAGGAATTGACAAAAACAAGACCCAAAGAGTTAGTGTGAGTAAAAACTCCTCTCTGTTGCTCTGCTTTCATTTTCAACAGTGATGCTATAATTTGTCAGTAGTTCTCTAGTCTTGAAAGTTTTGGTGACATAGCTGTGCCTAGGGCCCTACCAAATTCACTGCGCATTTTGGTCAATTTCATAAGCATAGGATTTTTAAAATAGTTTCACAATTTTCAGATGCTTACAGTGTTGTAACCTTGGAAAACCCGACCCAAAAGATAGTCGGGAAGGTGGCAAAGTTATTATAGAGGGATTGAGGGATTGCCACCCTTCTGCGCTGCTGCTGGAGGGGGCGGTGCCCTGCTCAAAAGCCAGTGCTGTCACCAGTAGCAGCGCAAAAGTGAGTGTCGCAGGGTTGGGGGGTGGGTGGATTGTCATGGGGGAGGGGTGGGGCTGGCCTTATGGTTGGGTGACCACTCAGGGTCTCATGGTCAGGGGGTGCCATGGTTCTCTCTTCCAGCCAGCCCAAGGCCCTTTAACCTCCTGAGCATGGAGCAGGGGAGGGGCAGGGCTGGGTTGCCCTGGCTGGGGGTGCCCCAGTCATTGGCCCCAACTATGCAACAGGTTCCAGCTGCCAGTTCTGATCGGGCTGGGAAGGGATGGGACTTCCTCTTTCCCTGCAGGAGTTGATTCTGGTGCTGGGTCAGACCCATCTCCAGGAGCCTCCCCTGGCTGCAGGAAGCTGGGCTCTGAAGGCAGTGCAGCCATGGAGCTTCCTGCAGCCAGGGGAGAACTCAAAGTTGGTTTAATTTTAACATACATTTTCAAGTTGAATTTTCACTTTAGAAGTGTATTGTTTCAGAGTAGCAGCCGTGTTAGTCTGTATTTGCAAAAAGAAAGGGAGTACTAGTGGCACCTTAGAGACTAACCAATTTATTCGAACATAAGCTCACGAAAGCTTACGCTCGAATAAAATGGTTAGTCTCTAAGGTGCCACTAGTACTCCTTTTCTTTTAGAAATGTATTGGTTCTTTTTCAGTCAAGGACCTTGGTTTAAAAAGCCAGTTTATATGGAGGGGCTGTGTGTGTGTGTGTGAGAAGATGCCCCCCAGCTCATTTTTAATTGTTTATCAGTAATGGTCCAAATGCTTTTTTATAGTACACTGAAACTCAAATGCTCTTTTTTATTTTTATAGATTTTACTCTTTGGAATGGGGAGGCAGTCTGATTTAAGGGGTAGGGCATGGAAGTGGAAGTTAGACCCACAGATATCTGCATCTGCTCTAGGAGTTAGACTAGTGTGATTCTGTGCTCTGCTATTAAGTGTAGGGTGAGTGATTAATTTAGCCTCAATTTCTTACTCTATAAAATGGAAATGGGATGCTCCTTTGTAAATCACTTTGAGATCTGTGGATGAAAATACAGAAGGCTTCCCCCCCCCACCCCACCCCGAAGGAAGTGGTTTCAGTGTCATTGGAATCTTGACATAATATGGATAAGAGAATAGAAACCTTTGTAAATGTAACTGGGAACTTGCAGAGAAACCTTAAGGACAGGGATTAAATAAATGCAATAATGTTCTTATGTTTCATGTTGACCAAGCAATAGGAGTCCACGTCTAGGCAAAGATCTTAATTTTTGTTGGGTGATGTTTGCACTTCGCTTTTTTCTTCCCTTTCCTTCTCTTATAACTACTGACTGTTTCATTATCTAGAAGCTCTGCATGCAGATTCCTTTAAAAACTGCAGCATAAACTGTTAGTGTCAGGGCTTGTCTTTGTTTA